CCCCAAAAAGTATCGGCATTAAACCCCTACAGTCTTAGGCATAACAATATGCTACGTAGTATCCCATGGCGCACTAAGAACTATAAATTGTCTTTTCTACCATCTGCAGTAAATTCATGGAACACATGGAAAATCATTAAAAAATCTGACGTCTCAATTTATTACTATACAGGCAACCGACAAAATCAAATTATCCACACCAGATTACGCCACAGTAAAAGCAAACTTAACGGTCATAAATTCCTAATGCACATATCTCTTCTTCCTCATGCGTGTTTTTCATGTGGTCATATCTTTGAAGACTCTGAGCATTATCTTTTGTATTGTAACAACCACTCCACTTACAGATCATCGTCCGTATTATTATACGGCAACCCTGATATATCTCAGGATATGAATAAGTTTATATTCAATACTGTTCATTCATACATCAGTCTGTCAAAGAGATTGACGATTGAACTGATATATATACCCTCACACACAGGAACAACAGACAATATCCGAAATACGTGCCCCTGTTACGGCCTCTGGGGACTTCAGTTGGAAACTGCCAGTCGACAGACGCCAGGTGGAGCTGTCAGAGACTGTGATAGAAAAGGCTATTTCGGACTTACATTATTATGAATTAATGATTATATTGAAAATACCAGTGGACCCACGATTATTCATTCATTTATTCACTTGTTTATTATTATTATTTTTATTACAATATTGCTTATACCACGAGGCGGATTAATATAGGCTACTTAGCTTGTTTCTGTATCGTTTGTAAATTATACCATGTCATTGCAAATGCTTTCATAGTAATAAATATTGTTTAAATCAAGTGTAAGGTTTTGTGATCTAAAGACTTAAGCGTCGTATGGGAATGTGATCTTTTGACCTAGGGTGGTAAACGTATGCTGTCTATGAATTATAGTGTAGTAAGAGATTGGGACCCTTTGTCCTAGGTTAGAAAGGGGATGTGATCCTCTTTCTCTCTAGGGTGGTAAGGTTATGTGATCTTATGTCTCTATGGTGGTAAGGTTATGTGATCTTATGTCTCAAGGAATGTAACCTTTTGACCTACTGTGGAGAAGATATGAGGTCTTATGTCTCTAGGGTAGTAAGGGTTTGTAGTTTTATGACTCTAAGGTGGTAAGGGATTGTGACCATTTGAACATTCTGATGAGATGTGAAAATTATAGAAGAAATTCTTTCCATTCGTTGTCTGAAAATTATAATAGCTGTTTGACAAACCTTTACCACGTTAGAAGACTACACAACCTCACCACCCTGGAGTCATCATGTCACATACCCTTACAACCCTAGGCCAAAGGTCTCATTTCCTTTTCCACCATAGAGTAACCAGACCACATACCCTTACTAACCTAGAGACATAACATACCCTAACAACCCTGGGCCAAAACGTTACATTCCATTACCACCGACCGCATAACCTTACCACCCTAGAGACATAATATCTCATACCCTTATCACCTTAGATCCTTAAGATGACATCTATTACAAACGTAGCTTTATAAGATCACATTATCCCTACCACGCTAGGTCAAAAGGTCACATATCCTTACAACCTTCAAGTCATTAAACCACACAACCTTACCACCCTAGAGTCAATAGACCACAAACCTTACACCCTGAGACATAAGATCTCATACTCTTACCATCCTCTAGGGCGGTTAAGGTATGTGGTCTTATGATTCCAGGGTGGTAAGGTTTGTATAAGATCTTATGTCTCAGGGTGGTAATGATATGTTGCCTTATGACTCTAGTGTGGTAAGGGTAGGCGATCTTATGACTGTAGAATGGTAAGTGTATGTGGTCTTATCACTTTATATGCACAGGGACCGATGGCGGTATTTATATATTTTTTGTTGCATATCGGTGCAAATTTTTTCTTTTCAATATTTTTTTTACTTTCTTTTTTAACAAACAATATGATAGTACTTGTGACTTTAGTAAAGACTTTTTACACATAAATATCTGTTCTAACGGTATAATCTTTTGAACTAGATCATTAGACTACTACATAACTTGAAAGATGTTTAGCTTCAAGTTTCGTATGATTCGTGTAGCTAGGTCGAACGCGATGTTTCTTAGCGTGTCAATTTTCATAGACCTTTGTGCAACGTGATGTTTTTCTTGTCATCAACGGGCCATCGTACAATGTAACAAAGGAAACATAACTCTACTTTCTTAAACACGTGATTAGGCGGAAATCACGTGACCAGTGGAAATCAACTAAAAATATATTTTCAACAAATTTATAATATCAAGCCTGTTCCTTATCATTCATCAGCAATTTACATTGATAATGTTACCAAAAGTGTCAAAAAACACTAAGGTTTGTATGATCCAGTATAAAACTATCCTGAAATTTTAGTGTAGCAAAGGAATCTCGTTTCTGTATTGTTTCATTTTCAGCATGCCATGAAAATAATGAAATGTTGACTATTTTCGAGCAACACTGTGCACTGTGTGTAATGCTGTTCTATTAATGGAAAATGTTCCCTCATGTTCATTGTCACAACTCTTCAAATAAAACTTGAAGACTAACCTTCATTTTGTAGGCCTAAATATATAAATTTGTAGATTCTCAGTAGAACACCTTTATAACTTTTCAATGATGTAAGCTTACTAACAATATACAGTCAAGTAACCTAATTTCGTGGAAACCTATTATTCGTGGATTTCCGGAAATGATTAATAATTTACATGAGCGACCTTGCGCGACCTCCGCATTAGTTTGTTTTCTCTACAATATCAGCTAGTACAATGAATCCAGTAGTTTCAAGCAAGGTAAAATGTATTAATGTATACTTTGTCAAATACAAAATGGTGGATTTCACTTATTACCAAACGTCACCATTTTTTATCGGCCGAATTTCCTTATAATCCCAAGCGGTAATCGGAATTCCAAGTGTCATCTGCTAGAATGTAGTCCAACGAATGAAGTCACGTGATCAACTAGCGGATTCCGTGTCAGCAGAAAATTTCTATGGAACACAAAGTGGACCATATTCTTATGTTGTTTCAGTGACTTTTAGCAATAAATCATGCTACGTATCATATTTTGTCAGTCACTATGTTTTTTTTTTAAATCGTAGTTCTTTGAAGGAATTGTCACTAGTTATAATGAATTGATATTAAAGATAAATACTAAGAGAAGTTAATTATACCACCCGGTATCCATAAAACGTGTTTTTCTAGACTTATTTTAGATCAAACATTGTACACGAAAATAGGTGACGCATTCTGCCGCCGTTGCCGAGTTGGTTGCTCATGAAATATGGGTCAAACTGAAGGATTCATAAAGAAAATCGAAATAAACCAATTTTGATTATTTTATAGAATATCTGAGGAAACATCTAGGACATATTTTTTTTTTTCGTTTTTTTAACTTTGACGAAATTCGGTGTTGAATCCTTATATCCACGAAAATAGGTTACACCACTGTAATGTAAAATGGCTTTTGACATCATTGTTCAAAATTTTATGTGAGACTGTGACATGTAAAAGATAACAAGGTAAACATAAGTGATATGGTTGGCATATTACATTACAGAATGTAATTTTGTGCTAAATATCATATGTATTTTTCTGGCAGGAACGTTTTGCCATTTATTCAGCTTCAATTCACAGCCAATCACCATACTGGTCTATTCTAATGATATAAGCCAGTACTTCTGTAGGAGGGACGGAGGGTATGCCCTATAACACAAATTACTGTTAATTACTGTCCTTCCGTGAGCACAATAGAGACTACAGTTCTTATCTGATGATGAAATTCGGTGTGATCATTTAATTATATTGATGAGATCTTGGTAAAGTTCGAATTTGACAATTTTGATGAGCAGTTTTAGAGTTATTGAGTTATTATCTTGACTTAATAAAACGCGACAAAATGTTTGTGAACAAAAATCATAATTATTTTTATATTGATAAGATATTGGTCAAGTCAATTTTAATGATTTATCGTTGAACAAATTTATGGTAAAGGCTCTTGACTTAGTAACAAAGCATCAAAATTTGTTTATGAATACCATAGAGACTATAAAGATTTCATCTGATTTTAATAATACATTTTTTTTAAATGTGGCTTGTGAATCCATAGATGTGACAGTTTATGTCAGAATTTGTGTTGGTTTAAATCAACAATATCTTTGACAAGTTGGTACGATTTGACACAGATTCGTGAAAATTTATCATGGAAATAGGCGCATCTTGCTAGGCAACCACTTTATTTGTTATGACAAGTTCCTCTTCTTAACCAAACAGATCCTGTTCTTCTAAAAAAGCCACTTCTTTTTCAAAGAGTGTGAATGTTTCTTAGATCATTCATCTTTTTCTTGTTAACAATTGAATAAAATATTCTGAATATCGTCTGAATTGGTTTTTCTTGGTAGTCTTGGATTTAAAAGTGTGTTTTTCTTTACAGGCTGGCCAATGCTTACAATGGGAAGTATAAATACAATGTAATCCTACACTTCCTTTGAATTGCCAAGGATACTATGACTGACCAATCAAATCAAAATATGAATCAACTGATTCCAGAAGGGGCTGGATTGATGGATCCAGAAGGAGTTTCGCCAGTTTCTTCTGAAGGATCAAAAACTATCAAAGATCTATCTAGATTATCTCAGAGTTTGAGTTTAGATAAAGATGATCTTCAGCCTCAGTTGATTGACCTTGATGAAGAACAAGAGGTGTTCATGGATCAAAAACAGACCAACATTTCCACTTTTAAAAATCTTCAGATTAATGACATTGAATCTGTGAAAAATGTTAACGATATTCCTTGTGATAATGGGATTGATCCAAATTCAACATCACGCCCTCATAGTCTTTCACTTCCAGCTCCTCTTCAACCTCGTCCGGCCCCTATAATCGGAGGTGCTAATACTCGATCAAGAACTCAAAGCGATGTCATAGTCATTCCACCAACCAGAAAAATCCTGGAAAAGTTAAATGAGGCGGAAGCCTTGTCAAAAAGTTTACCCCAAGGAACAATATTACGGAAAGGTGAATTAATTGAATTTGTAGCAGATGATTTACAAGAGAAAATAAGACGTAGTAGTCCAATGTCGAAAACCGGTTCCAGTAATTCAAGACGTTCAAGTGTGCGCAGTGTAACAAGTTTTTCTAGTAATAATTCAGCTGGTACGTCCATGGCTACATCAACTGCATCTGGATGGTCAAGATCAGCCAGTAGTCTCTTTCAACAAAGTCCTGATGACATTCCACCTATTGACCCATCGGCTATTTTGGAATTGGAAAATCAAGCAAGATACATTGCTGACAATATTGACCTTTTATTGGGTAATTTGAAAACAAGCTTGCATAAAATGTCTGCACGAGGGGTGGCTTGTTTGAGTGCATATAAAGACTCAGTAGATTACACCTGTGATTCTGTAGACACAAGCATCAAGTCTATGTACGCTTTAATGGCAAAATGTGAAGAATTGAACAAAACTGTGGAGCCTGTTTATCAATTAGCCAATCAGATTAAAGAAATTAAGAGACTGTTGGATTTATTTGAATCACAACTTACTGATAAAGTGACAAAAGCTACACAGTGAATGACTTTAAAGGTTTTTCTACCTTATAGAAAAACTATTAATTTGCCTTCAGCTTAAGAACTTCATTTGTTATTAATAACTTTATGAGAATTATAATTTTCTTTATTACAATCAAACTTTTTTTTGCAGTTCTTCTTGCAATGTTTTTTAAAACTACCTTAATTATTGAAGGATTTGTGAATGTTTTTTGATACCGTACATCATTATGAAACTGTAATTCTGTGATGAATTCTATTATAAGAACAATTGCAAATAGAGAATTACTCATAAATCCAAATGATCATATTTATTATACAGTACTTATTAAGTATACAAATTGGTATAACAAATTCAAATGTCTAACTGATATATGAATAGAAAGTCCTGGTCAAATGAAATGTAAAAGTCTATGTAAGTCAATTATTCTTAATAAATTATTATTGTTGTTGTTGACCTAAAGACTATTTGTTTTTACTATTTGATTAAAATTAACATTAAAATGTGGGACAATCTTATAGAAAGACTAAAAATGAAAAGCACCCTTGATCACTGATAGTCTGTAGTAGTGCTAAATCATATTGCTCAGATAATTTTGTTTGCCTGAATGAGTTAATTTAAGGATTGAGGAGCCTTATTATGACGCATGGTGGCACTTTTTACAATTGAAAAAAAAGAAAGTTCAGTTCACAATCCTGTCCAAGAAAGTTCAGTTCACAATCCTGTCCAAGGAAGTTCAGTTCATAATCCTGTCCAAGGAAGTTCAGTTTACCATCCTGTCCAAGGAAGTTCAGTTCATCATTCCTGTCCGAGGAAGTTCAGTTCATAATCCTGTCCAAGGAAGTTCAATTCATCATTCCTGTCCAAGGATTTTCAGTTCAAAATCCTGTCCAAGGAAGTTCAGTTCAAAATCCTGTCCAAAGAAGTTCAATTCATCATTCCTGTCCGAGGAAGTTCGGTTTACCATCCTGTCCAAGGAAGTTCAGTTCAAAATCCTGTCCAAGGAAGTTCAGTTCAAAATCCTGTCCAAGGAAGTTCAGTTCATAATCCTCTTCGAGGAAGTTCAATTCATCATTCCTGTCCAAGGATGTTCAGTTTACCATCCTGTCCAAGGAAGTTCAGTTTACCATCCTGTTCAAGGAAGTTCAGTTCAAAATCCTGTCCAAGGAAGTTCAGTTCATAATCCTCTCCAAGGAAGTTCAATTCATCATTCCTGTCCAACGATGTTCAGTTTACCATCCTGTCCAAGGAAGTTCAGTTTACCATCCTGTCCTAGGATGTTCGGTTCACCATTCCTGTCCAAGGAAGTTTAGTTCACCATCCTGTCCAAGGAAGTTCAGTTCAAAATCCTGTCCAAGGAAGTTCATTATCCTGTCTAAGGATGTTCAGTTTAACATCCTGTCCAAGGAAGTTTGGTTCTTCATTCCTGTCCAAGGAAGTTCAACATACCTGTTCAAGGCAGTTCGGTTCATCATTCCTGTTCAAGGAAGTTCAACATACCTGTTCGGTTTATCATTCCTGTTCAAGGATGTTCAGTTCACCATTCATGTCCAATCATTACTGTTTGAGGAATAAATTCCAGTTAGCAGAGGTGGGAATAGATATTTCAAATTGTCCTTATTACAATATTTCTATCTGCTTAGGACAAACATGAGACTGGTAAGTGTCTGAAGATTAAAAGTAGATGTTGGCTGGGTTGTATTTAATGCTTACTAACTGCAGTAAAGTATCCTTTTGAAGGCTGATGATTTAGTGACATTGGGTCCACTGAAATTGGCTGATTGCTTACAATTTTATTCTTTGTAGGTTACTTACTTACAAACATTAAGTCTTTTAAACAACAAACAATATAAATCCAAAGAATGCCTCTTGATGCACTAAATGTTTCCAAGATAAATGGGCTGCTATCAGATTATAATGATTTGTTTATTGTTTTTGTGGCTCTTTTCCATTTAAGTAATATTTCTTGACAAACATGGATATTTATTTTGATGTTGTGCATTAATCTAAGAATGTATTTATGTTATAGAAGAAGAGTACACCAGTAATGAAGCCTGCTATGAAAAAAAAGGTTCCAGTTGAAAGTTCTGATGATGATGATGATGATGATGATGATGATGATGAAGATTCAGTTGATAATGGAGTCGATAATACAGTAAGTTATCTCAATTATAAAAACTGTTGAAAATGCATTTTATTTTAATACAGCTGATTCTATCAGATTTTAGACATAATTTCATTCCCTCATATTACTGTGACTACCCAACTGATACTAATTTACATCAGCTATTTCGTTCAGATAATCAGTGTATTGAACATAATTTCACATTTTATATAAAAGAAAAGCCAATTGACAAAAGAAACAAAATGTTGCTAGGTTATTTTTATTTGTATAATATATTTCTTTTGAATATAGTTTAAAATCAAATATAAAACTGTGAATTATGGTATTATGTTCCATTGATTATTGTATTTAATTGTATCTGTATAGCACTTTATATTGTTCATTACTTAAATTGTTAGGTGTCTTTTTAGATTAGGTGTCTTGTCTTATGGTCTAATGAATAAACTTGTTTGCAATAAAATTGGTAAAGTTTGGATTACTGACAACAGTATTAAGATAATAGTTTTGGTTGAGAAGTTCTTGAGCGTATAAGCACCACATCTATTTTTCGATGTTGGTTGTAAGTCTGGATCAGTTAACCAATTTCTTGTTTGTTTTTAGACTGCTTTAAAGGGTGTTATGGAAAATATCAAACAGTTTGGTGGCAATGCTGAAAGTGATGATGAGGATGATGATGATGATGATGAAGAAGAAGAAGATGATGATGTCGATAATGACTCGGTACTACAAACTAAGAAGAGGAAGGTGGAATCATCAGCAGATATTCCTGCTAAAAAGACAAAAACAGAATTCAGTGAGTTGTTTTTCTGCTGAATGCCTTAAAAGCATTAACTAAATTTCTTAATGTTTAAACATTATTCTGTTTCAATAATATATATATAATATTCAATATTATTAAATACATTATAGATAGCTTACACAATATGTTGTCAGATCTATATCTAGATATTAGATTGGTTAATATCATCGCGGAATAACACCAAACCAATCAATGTGCTTAATATTTTACATGTATGATTATCCTGAGTTATTATGTTTCCAACAACAGGTTCTTCTATAATAATCTTCAATAATTGATTTAATGTACACTAATGTAACAGTAAAATTGTTATTTCAGTTTCTATATTTATGGGAGGGTTAAATAAAGACTCAACACCAGAAAGTATTAAACAGTTTTTTACTAAGAAAGGTGTCACAGTACTAGAAGTTAGAAAGAAGCAGGGCAAAAAGTAAGTATTTTATTGCTAATCGCTTGGAAATTTTTTCTAGTTCTAGTTATACTGTAACAATTTACTTATAATAATTGAGAGATATAAATCAAAATAAGTTATGAATTTTTACCAAGTTCCTTATTAAACATCTTTTGTTCATCATTTTTACTGAGTTTATGCAGAGCCTCATAAGCTATTTGGATAAAGTGAACCCTAGTCCCATCTATAAATTGATAAGGTGGAGAAATTTTGAATAATGAACAAACTCATGAATTATCTTGGTTGTAGATTTGGTCACTGTGATTTGAGTACTAAGGAAGATCTAGTTAAAGCAGTCAACCTAGATGGAAAGAAAATTGATGGGGTAAATGTGAATATTGCAGAGGCTACCAGTGCGAGACCTGATTTCGGTTAGTTAACTGAATATTGATTGACTTCTCATAGCTAGGAAAGAGTTATGACCAATATTTGTATTATTTAATAACTCTTACTTTTTCATTCTTTTGATAAATCAAGCTGCTTGTCCTCATGTAAATACTTTAACAACGAAATTCAAACAATAGCTGTAAAATACAAATTGTACAGATGTCCACAGAGCAATTTTTACTGAAAATCACTGTAATAATGAATGTATACTGCATAGTTTTAAACACGAAACAAACATTTAACCACATCTTTCTATAAAGTGCATCCCTTGGCGGACCAGACCCCCAGGACTAGGCATACAATAAGAGGGCATATGTGACTTAATAAGAGGGCAACCTACGATGTTGAATTAAAAATACGATCTGGGGAAATGCATAGGAAAGGATTATCCACAAGAAAAAAGTTGAAAAATAGATTTGATTTGGTGCCTTGACACATATTCTGGGAGCAAAAACGTTTACAAATCATATTTCTTAATTTGTTAGAAATAAGGTGGATGTGCAAATGAGGGCACAGGCTATTTTTCTAGGTGGGCAAATGCTCCCCTGAACCTCCTACTGGTGCCACTATTGAGTACATCACTTCAGATGGTTTCATGTTAATCAATAACTGTGTTGTATATTTTATAGATGCACCAAAGAGAGCTAAAGTAGGAAAGAAAACATTAGTAGTAAGAAATCTGCAGTATGCTGTTACTGAGAATGAATTATTAGAGAATTTTAAAGGTGCACTAGAGGCTAGAATTCCAGTTTTTCCTGATACTGGCAAATCTAGAGGGTAGGTTTTTGTTCTCCACATCCTCACATGATCAGCTTATAAACAGAAATAAATGGAAACAATGCAAATAGGATATTAATACATTACGCAATATTCTTACCAATATCCACATTTTGGTTTTTTTTTTTTTTCAGGAAAGGTTTTGTTGATTTTCCAACAGTAGATGATGCTAAACAATCTCAGATTAAAATGCATGGAAAGAAAATAAGAGGCAGAGCTATTTATGTAGAATTTGCCCCTGAAAGTGGTAAGATTTTGATTTTTTATGTCAATGAAAAACTTAGTCATATTTGATCAGAATTGAACAATGTTTTTGCATCTAGTTTTTGTGTTGTGAATGTGGAAAGTGTGCTAGCTTAAATCTAAATGTGTAATATTTTTGCAAAATCTTTTATTTGCAGGAAAAGGACCAGGTGCTAAAGATGGGGAAGTTCTGAAAGAAAAGAAACGAAAACCCAAAATTAAAAATAAAGTCTTCACTGAAAATCAATTTGAAGATGATTCGGATTAAATTTTACACTTCTACATTCTACTTACAAGAACTTTTATTAATCTTATCATGATTTATCATCCCAAATATTCAATGTGTTTTCTTTCTTCAGTGCTATTGTGGAATGGCTTATTGGCTTTTGAACTATGTTTTCTTTGAATCATTAAAAAGTGGAATAGTCATAATTGTTTGAATTTATATTACTTTTTAAAACTTTTGAATAGATTCTCCAAGAAGAATAGTTATTTTGCTTTAATCATGAAAATAAATAACAACAAATTCTTTCTTATTGTTTTCATTAAAAAAAATATACAAATTCACAGTATCATATATTGAGAGATGAAATGCATAGTGTATAATGTACATAGTAAGTAATGGGGTTAAATAATTGTCTAACTCAGCCAGATAAATTACATAAAACCAGTTACTGACACTGACAGCATTACCTTTGTTGTGTTCAAGTTTGCACCTTATACAGTTAGAACGCATACAAACTTATATATACAAAAAAATTAACTTCTGTATAGATATCTCTTGATTCTTCTCGGACAGAGAAAAGACCTCTTTCAGTCAATCTTTATGATTCCATGCTCAGATCTTTACTTAAGTCATTTATGTACAATCATATCTACTATGAACATGCAGAGATTTATATACATGAGTCCTGCATTAGTCAGTTATTGACATACTAATTTGAGCAATATATCATTTTAGTTTGTCAATATCAGAAAATTTCAATCACTATCATCAGCAAACACAAACTGCTTCTTTGGTGCTGAAAAATTCATTATTTAAGAGTAAATTAGTATACCTTAATGACATTGCTCTTGAAGGGTTTGTTTTGTGGTCAACCCTTGACCATTGTTAGTATTTCATATGATTTCTGATTCCAAAGAAATGAAAATTCCTTCCCATTGCTAAATTCTATATATTGATACAGATTTTCAGAATATTGAAAAATTTTACACTTGAAATTGTTTATACCTTGAATCCTTGGTTCTTGCTTATTGGGATATAAATTCACGTTCTTTGGAGTTGGTAACTTAGACTCATGACTTTTAAGATCTATAATGTAAAAAGTATTGTACTGTTAAATGCTGTTAATTCTTCAAACATACAAACTCCTGTTGGTAGGACTTCATATACTACTTTGTAACCACAAGTAATTTAAACATCAAAATATTGATCTTTAACTAGTTGTTGTCTTTATAACTATTCAGGCCATACTAAGTGATACTAACAGACTATATCTTTATTTGATTTATTGTTGAAAGTTCACATAGAAAGATATTGCAGTAAAATGAAAAAGAAGAATAAAATTGAAAATGACCTTCAATGCCTTTAAAATGGATACTGACTCTTCTTCCTTTTATTTTTCTTCTGTTCAATGCATGTTGAGCTTCTTTAGCATCTTGTTTTGATTGATATTCTGCAAACGCATACCTAAAATATGACAAAAGAATTTAGACAAAAGAGCAGAATAAAAGTAAGAAATTTGTGACATTTTTAAATGCATTTTCTTAATAATTCAATAAATCAATAAAACTGTATGCTTACACACTTTTAGTATCATGGTTGAAAATGACAGTTTATCACCTGTGCCAAAAAACATTCTTGCTCATTAGAATTACAACTACATATCTGATTGATTGGCTGAATAATAATGGTAATTACATAAAAATTATTAAATATGTACGTACAATGAACATCATTTTGTCCTAAAAACCTACCCCTTAGATTTTCCTGTATCAGTGAACTTAGATAAAGTAATTTTATCAGCTGTTAAGAATATTTTTCTCAAGTCTGCTTCTCCAACTTCAAAACTTAAATTTTTCACCACTAATTTATAATCATATTTTTTCTTTCCGGCAACTAAAATAGAAATACAATTACCATGATGGATTAAACTTTTCAAAAACTATATCTAGTCTCTAAAATATTGATGAACAGAGAATTATTTATAAAGCTTCAATTCAAATTCAAAATTTCCTTTAATACAAAAAAGTCGACACATGATTCAAAATGAACAACCTCAGCCTAATTTGACTAATCATTGACTATTGCTCAAAAAATCTTTTGTAATATTTGAGCTCCACTACTACCATTACTCCTGTATGCATAGAGATGACTGTGACTGAGCTTGTCAACTCGATACTTCTATTTCTATAACAATTATATCTAATACCTGTTCTCTGAGACTTTGAATCTGACACTCTGAAATTTGAGGATGAAGATTTTCCATTGGAAGTACCAGATGTTTTCTTTACAACCCCTCCTGCAAATAAATGAACAAATGAAAATCAATGATGAACAAAGACACTTGAGCAGCAATAATGATAAAATCAATTAAAGAAAGAAGTTCATATTCAACTGTTCTGCACCATTGATAACATGAAATGAGAAAAATTTTAAGTATCAGGAAGCAAGATTTCAAATCATAATAACAACATATTGAAGCCCATACCTTTTTTATGTCCAACTATTTTTATCTTCTTAGGACAAATTATTTCAAAATTCAAGGGAAATGTTTCTCTATTCTTTCTCTTCTCTTTTTGTTTAACAGCTTTCATGATTTTACTGAAAAATTGATTGAAGAAACAAAGAAATTGAAAAATTATTTTTTCTGCACTACTTCTAAACAGTTTTTTTTAATTTGTTGGTAAATTGAAATTTGGTGATTGCATATAGGTTAATCATAGATTTATCAATGCTGACACTCAAAGAGTAACAATTCTATTTTGAGGCTGATATTCTAATTCTCATAAAAATAATTCATTCTGCAAAGACAGTAGACTATTATTACTAACGGGTACCAGTAACAAAACTCATTGACTATACTCTGTCAGTTTCTGGATTTCCTAGACCAGCATCTTATGTAAAGTTTTTTAAACAAATGGCATAAACCGAGAATAATAATTTATTGATTTTTTATGTATGTTTATCAACCAGCTTATTAATATAATTATACACTGCACGAAAAATTTAGATTGGCGGTTCGGAGGCCTAATATCAGGAGTAAGCAAAAATCAGCATGAATTACTTGTGAGTTTATGCAAGGAAATAAAGTCTTTCAATGCTTTTTTCAAATATTTTCTATAAACTTTAATTTTTACTGCAAAAAGTTAGCCATTTTGAAATGTGAGTTATTCTCCTTTTTATATTGTAACTCTTCACTTTTGAAAACATATTTATTTTAAGACACACGTGCTTCCGGTTTGGAAATAATTTGTTTACGTTTATAATTTTCAGATTTGTGAAAAACGAACTCATTGCATTGCTTTTTTATAGGTTTGTTTCCGACAAAAACATCTTCTCTACGCTTTCGAATCACCTGTCTCTACCCCCATTCTCCTTTCAATCCTTAAACTTTTAGAGTCAACTTGGCCTCTTACTAAACCAAAAATAAATGATTAGCCTATTATTACGTGACATGTACAATGGTGTAACCTTTTTTCGTGGATATAAGGATTCAACACCGAATTTCGTCAAAGTTAAAAAAACGAAAAAATTTTTTTATGTCTTAGATGTTTCCTCAGATATTCTACAAAATAATTAAAATTGGTTTATTTCGATTTTCTTTATGAAACCTTCACTGACCCATATTTCATGAGCAACCAACTCGGCAACGGCGGCAGAATGAGTCACCTATTTTCGTGTACAATGTTTGATCTATAAATAAGTCAAGAAAAACACGTTGTATGGATACCGGGCGGTATAATTAACTTCTCTTAGTATTTATCTTTAATATCAATTCATTATAACTAGTGACAATTCCTTCAAAGAACCACGATTTAAAAAAAAAATAGTGACTGACAAAATAATATACGTAGCGTGATTTATTGCTAAAAGTCACTGAAACAACATAAGAATATGGTCCACTTTGTGTTCCATAGAAATTTCCTGCTGACACGGAATCTGCTAGTTGATCACGTGACTTCATTCATTGGACTACATTCTAGCAGACGACACTTGGAATTACGATTACCGCTTGGGATTATAAGGAAATTCGGCCAATAAAAAATGGTGAGGTTTGGTAATAACTGAAATCCGCCATTTTGTATTTGTCAAAGTATACTTTATACATTTTACCTTGCTTGAAACTACTGGATTCATTCTACTAGCTGATATTGTACAGAAAACCCATGTTTATCAAAACAAACTAATGCGGAGGTCGCGCAAGGTCGCTCATGTAAATTATTAACCTTTTCCGGAAATCCACGAATAATAGGTTTCCACGAAATTAGGTTACTTGACTGTATGTTAATTATTATTTTCAATTTGAGTTGTTAGAATAGACCAATGACATGATGTAGGTATGTGGCACACTGAGCTTTCACATTTTCTACATCTGCTTGAATAAATGTGAAGACAATAAGATATTTAACAACTGAATTAAGCATAGAATTAGATGATAACGAGCTGAAAAAGAACGTGCAGCCATTGATGAATAAGCTTTCAAACCTGAATAAGAAATTGCAGCAAAAAAAAGTGTACGTGTTCTCGGTCAAACAATCAAACGTCGTAATGATAAAATAAAACAACTTAATGAATTCTCTAAGAGTGAAGCTGGTAATAACAACAAACTTGAAAAGGTACAGTTCAAGAGAAAATTTTAGAATTTAGGAAAAGAACAATCAGAGCGAACCGATATTTAAAAGCTTCAATTAGAATTAGAATTTAGTGCTAAGCATGACATAATTGATTGTTTGGAGATTGAATTGGACAGTTACAAAAAAACAAGAGTCGAAACGAAACGAAAAACACAAAAAATTTGTGATAAAACATGTTTATTTGTGTATGATTGTCTTGTAAACCAGGTCCCAACTGGTAACATTCCGAATCTCTTTAAATTGTCTGCACGGAGATTTAGTGTGTACCAATTAATGCAGATAACATCCCTCATCGTACAACAGTGGAGCAAATGGCAATGTCATTTCAGACATTCATCCTGGAAAACAATAACATCACACTAGGGTTTGATACAACAACACAGGAGGGCATACATATTAATAGTGTGCATGTTACATTTGTAAATGCTACTTGCAAGGTTATAGCTATCGATCGCTTAGCTGGTGGTTTGGCAGTCGATTATGAAGATCACATTGTTTCTTTGTTCGATAAACTGTCGAAATTATATTTAACGTATAAAAGTGTTGATTACCAGGGCACTAGAAAGAAAATTATCAGCAGGATATCGAACTTGATGACTGATAGGGTGAACGCTAATCATGCCACAATTGTTTTGGTTAACCAGGCATGGCATACATTGTAACCTAACTCAGCTGACTCATGCATCCCCTAGATACTATCTCATCATCAGTTCAGTCTGTTCTAAAGTAAGCTCAATAACAAGATACTGTTATAAAGCTTTTTGGGACAGACATCATGGCTAGAAATGTTACTCTGCAAATGAACAAGATGCGTTATGAATGAAGTCACTTGGACACTTTATCAGATCCTGATAGTCTTATAAATTTTGCAATAACCTATGCACAAGGAAAGAAAATATGCAGTCGTGAAAAGTAAGTAAGGAAATTGCGGGAAAACTGAAGAAGAACTAAACATTGGCCACCTATTGAAAATGGACCCAAAGCAAAAGTCAAAATGGCCCCAAAAACCCTACTCATTGACTCAAGAGAAAGATAGTCTTTAAAATTTCTATTTGATATGAAGTAAAAAAAAAAAATATAGATGTTCATTTTGACCCTTAGTGCACAGGAATCTGTTTCTATCAATAGTTGACTCTCTCTTTGATACTAAATATAGTAGAAGGTGTCTAATGCGCATCGCAACGCTTTTCTACCATTTACCGAAATGGAACATAATCCCAACCTTATATAAATCGTTTCATTGAATATTTTCCCTTTACACTAGACCTATTTTATATCTCCCTCAGTATTCCTCTTCATACTAATCTTACTATTGTTCAATAAAAATACTAGAAATATTATATACTACTGTTATTTACCACTTTTAAACATTTGCGAAACTTAACAAATACATTATAAGACATTGCACATACATGAATACATGAATAAGCTTACACTAAGGTTATAATCAACAAGTAATCAGATATATTGAAGGAATCAGGACAACTTGGACAACTGTTTTTTCACACAAAAAAAGATTTCACAACAAAATTGGACCAGTTTTGATAACATTCGGATGACTTGTTTGAGAATCAGACCCAGTTTTAAACCTTATTTTTAATGAAACTTGGACCACTTTTTTAAGTCTAGGAACAAGGTCACTATTTGATAATACTCAACAATTATTAGTTATTAATTTTCACTTGGATGTGAATTGTTCAATGGGATTAGATGATAGAATTAATCAGACTAAGATTAAATTTATACAAAGAGATTGTAGATTAAGTAATTATACAAAAGGATTATAATCTAGCATCATCCATGGGATGTTGTTCCTGTTATGGTTTGCATAGTCAATGATCCAAGTCACAAATAGGTGATCTGAGTGTATTATGAAAAGTGGTCCGTCTTGTTTAAGTCGAAGTTGTCATGTATTCATAATGAAATAATTCTTATATTTACAGAGATAACCTACTGGTAGCTGTTAAATAATTTAAAGAGTAATACTTACAAAATGAGGAAGAAATCCAAGAAAGTTCAAGAAGAAGAAGTGGAAGAAGAAGTTGTTCTATCTGCATCAGAAGAAGAATCAAGTGATTCCGATGGTCAAAATAGAAAAAGAAAATCAAAAGGAGGGGAGTCTGATAGTTCATCTAAAAAGGCCAAGATGGAAGGTAATGTAGTGAGCAAGAAATCAAATAAAATATCAATGAAAATGCACAGAAAAAAGAATTGAAATGTGAAATATTAAGATAAAACCATGAAAGACTTCATCACTTGAAGTATCTTTCTTTGTTCTAGCCATAATGTAATATTGATGACTTCAAATTCAGTGATATGTATTTTACAGGGAACTTGTAACACATGTCAAGGACTGATAATATTTGGCCATATTTGACTTCCAGTCAGTAAAAACTGGCATTAAAATTAACATTTTAATTCATTTTCTGTTACAGAAGAGAGAAGCAGTGAGAACACAGTATTTGTTAATAATATTCCCAGAAACATGAACTTAGAAGAATTTCAACAGTTATTCCCAGATGCTAGTCATATTAGGTTTCCAACTAAATATGATCAGACTTCTAAAGGGTGAGTAACCCAACTTTCTCTAGTGTGGATTATTGGCAATAGTTGAGATTGAAAAAGAATCTTAAATTTATTCTCCTTAACCCAAATACTTTGAGTTTTGGGAAAAAAACAGTTGAGTTTGAATAAAAGATTTGTCTTTGCATTTTGAAGGTGAATATTTCACAATTTGCCTGTTTGTCATGTATGTTTCCACATAATGTCTGTAGTATAATTGTTGTTCTTCACAGATTTGCTTTTCTAGTTTTTGACACAGAAAAGGAAATGGAGAAATGTTTAAAGAAAAAACAAGGAATAGAAATTAATAATAAAAAATTACAACTCACAATGGCAGGTAGGCTAATGATCTGTAGGTTTAATGACATTTTTCATAATGTATGCTGTATACTGACACTTTGTAAAATATGATGTCCTAGACTTTCTGTGCTTGTCTGCTACCATTGAGATACAATAAAAGCTTTCAATTGCTTGAACAACTTTCTGGGACTGTAAGCCTCACATAATGTATCAGCTTTTGTAATTTAAATTGCAGGAAACAGTAAAACATTATATATAAAAAATATTAATAAGAATGTATCAGAAGAAGAATTATGTAAAATATTCCCTGATTGTACTAGTATTAGATATCCTGAGTATGATGATGGCAAACATAAAGGGTAAGGACTTTTTAATACTCTGCTTTGTTGTGTTTTTTTATAAACTGGGCCCCCGGTTCATCTAAAGCTTAGTACTGAACTAGCAATAAGCAAACACAACAGAGTATCAATTTAAGAAATATGAATATATATTCTAATTGTTCACTAAAAGAATAATTTGTCTACTTTGACTTTCTTATTTTGTTCTCAAGATGTATACATATTTTACTATTCATAATTGTATTGTAAGAATGAGCTATCTAGTTTTAAAAAAAAAAGTAATTTTTGATGCACAGTACAGTTTATCAAATATTTCAGCTATGCCTATCTGCAATTTTCAACAGAAAATAAAGTGAAGGAAGTGATCACTAAGAAACAAGGAATGTATCTGAAGGGAGAAAAATTATTCCTGGAGTTAGCTAAACAGAGGGAACAGAATCATAGTGGTCAGAAATTTAGATCCAGTTTCGAAATAAAGAAAGGTAGTGTGCAATTTCTAGAGTTTAAGAGTATGTGGCAAGTTACTTTGTATAAATTGAAATATATCTATAATGTATTAACATAGTGTTACTGAATGGTGAAACTCTTTTAAAAATCAGAACATTTCAAAAGCAAATGAAGTTCATTCAACTTTTTCTATTAACATTATTGAAAAAAACCTAGCCTAATTTCAAAACTTTGATAGAAATTGAAATATCTATATGGAAGGTATCATGCTTTTCTAACAATTATTATTTTGATTCTGTTGCATAAATAAATGTTATCCTTATATTAACTTGTAGAAGTATGTTTATAAACTCTGGTCAACAATTTCATTTCAATCATAACTGTATTGAATGGTTAAGATCAACTTTAAGTTATGATGGTTTTGTAGTTTTTAAAGATAGATTTTATAGAGACATATTGAGACCATAACAACAAATTTTTGAACTGTATTATATTTCAGATGGTTATAGTGTTTCTGAAGAACCAACAAAATCAGTTACAGTTCGAAATTTAACATTTAATATATCAGAAGATGATATCATAAAAGAATTCGGTGCTCTTAAAGGCAGATTAATAAAAGATGAAGAAACAGGACAGTCAAAAGGGTGAGATAATATATGAATATTGTGTATGATAGTACAGTATTTCAGTTGAATTAGTTTCGTTGGTTGCAGTTTGTATAATTATAACATTGCATGCTCGTTTATTGCTTTATTTGTAACTTAAATAGAAATAATTTTATATGCAAGCAATACCAAGATAATTTATCTTTAATTTTCAAACGTTTGTTTTAGGAGGGCATATTTATTATTTAAAACTAAGAAAGATGCTGAAGAAGCTGTATCAAAATTCAATGAAGAAAAACTACATGATAGAAGAATTTACCTTTATTACACATCTAAACTAGGTATGATTTTAATTATTATTATAATTTCCTTTACAATTAATTTGTGTAATTATTTAAGAAATATATTTTGTTTCTCCTATAAAATTGTTTACAGTTGAATAGTTTACTTGGTGACATTTTTCTGTTATGTTGCTGGACTGTATTTCGATTTAGTTACTTACTAGTAATCTTTTTTCAGGGAAAAATAAAAAAGAACGACCGAAAAAAGAAAATCCTAATAGCAGAAAAAATAAAAGAAAACAGAAGTTAAAAGAAGGTATGATGGTTTAAAATTTAATATTACAAAATCTTAGTTTATTTAAGCTCTTTGTATTTTAAAACACACTAGACCAGAATAGAGTAAATAGAAATTGCAACTATATCTCTCAGACTTGCAGTCATATGAAACTATGTATGGTTCTTACATGGAAATAACACACACTAATGTAGTTCACAACCATTTTGAATCCTCGAAATAATAGGTCAAATTTCGATAAAGAAATATTTTCGATAAAGAAATATTTTCGATAAAGAAATATTTTCGATAAAGAAATATTTCAACAGAGCCTTCAAATCACATTTAAAGTTTTAGAAATGGCTGTAAATGTGATTTGAAGGCTGTGTTGAAATATTATAACCTTTTAAAAATTTGACTTATTAAGTTGAGGAAAAGATCCAAAATCTCTTCTTGCATTGTGTGCCAGTATCAAAACTAGGGTCATATGATAGTTCAGAGACAAAGGAACTTTTCCAATTTAATCTTCTTGTGTGTGTGCTTTTTATATTTTTATAGCTTCATTCTGTCATTCTATGATATATTCTAGCTTGGTCAAGATCATTTATATGAGGTTGAACATTGTAATTTGCTTGTTCTTCCTTTCAGATTATGAAGATTGAAGAACAGGGTCTATTGTTACAAATAACAAGACATAAATAGTTAATGTTACAGATTGTTCAATAATGATATACAGCTTGTGATAGTCTTTTCAGTGTATTATACAAGTTTGGACATCATGATCTAAAATGAGGAGTGGGAATTCCAACCAATTCAATCAGTGAATTTTAAGGCTGGTGTACAGGTATTTCACCTCACTGGTTAATTGAAACCAATATTGACAATTCAGTGATGAATATTTAGTTGCTGAACGTTTCAAGTTTCTGATGTTGCTCGTGGATTCCGATTCTGTAGTAATTTCTCAAAACAAGAAAAATCTTTCTTTTGAGACTTTTTAATAAAAGAAACAAGCATTTTGTAAGTCTTGCCTCTTTTTTTTCAACCTAGCCAAACAAGAATGACAAGAGGATCATTTTTACCAATTTTTCTTTAATGTAATTCTTGATGAATAAGGGTACAATCAGAATAAAAAAAAATCATTTTGTTAATTTTATGGTTCTCATTCTTTGAGAAAATACTTGAGTAATTGAGAAATTTAACAAAAAATGTTTGAAAACTGGGATAAAAAATGAAAACAATGGATTATAATAAAATGAAATGATAGTTTTCACATCCTATTGTCTTGAATAGATGGTGCATGCTGTCTATTGTAAGTCATTATCTCTTTTTCACTTATAAAAAATGTCAATCACTTCCCACATGAGTTTAACATATCATTATTATCAAAATTCTACTTCTCCACTAAAAGTAATGAAAAATGACTAAATTGAAATGTTTGTTTCACTGTACATGTTTGAAGTATCACTGTAGATTAATTAAATCAATTAGAATTTATATATATTATGAGGAGTAGGGATAACTTATTTTGTTCACCGTTTACAAGTCTCTTTCTTGTCATCTCTACAAAGCTCCTTATTAATCAACATTCCAATTTCCTATTCTGATTAACACATTGAATAATGGGACAGCCTTGATATATTTCCTTCAATATTCTTCATCTCAATATCTTAATCTGAAATGACATAGAAATAAGTACATGATCACCATATTGCAATTTTGTGTAAAAATCTAACAAAAAATCAGAGTACAGGATCTGAAAAAAGGTGACATTTTTGCAATTTTTAAATGGTATTCCCTCTTTTATGAATTTGAAAATCGATACCCCTAACTCCCCTAAATTACCATTAATATTTTAACTCATACAGACTCAAACAAACATATTTTCATATCTTACCTGACTTTACCTTTTACCAGTTCTACCAGTGAAGGAGAAAGGTAGCCCCATAGATGAATCATCTACTTCCATTACTTCCTCTGAAGATTGTTTGTTATATCTCTTCTGTCCCCCTCCTCTCTGACCTCCTCGCCCTCCTCTAGAACCAGTACCCCAGCCACTTGCTTTAGCCCTTGCTGATATCTCTCCAAATCCCACTGCAGTTTCTTTAGATTTAGCTTTATAACCCCAGCCACTATTTCGGGCTTCTTCTGATATGTCTGCAGAAGTATTTCGGAACCTGTTTTGCTGCTGATTGTTAGATCTTTTTTGTTGTTGAGGTTTGGATGGTTTCTCCCCTTCCCCACTACGACCTGTGAAACTCATTGGAAGACCCATATCTGCACCAAACTCTGGAGCATCCACATATTCAACTTCATCCTCTTCTTGAACTTGTTTCTTTTTCTTCTTTTGTTTGAAACTTTGATTTTGAACTAAGTTTCCATATATGTCGAAATCCTCCTCAACATAACCGCCATCATCTTGGCCCATTGCTCCCATACCACTAGTGCCATATCCATCATTGCCACCCCAGCCTGCAGCCCAGCTAGAATTACATTGAAACCCTACAAAAATAATACAGAATTTGCAATAAGCAATATAATGTTAATTCCATATTCAACAAATTCAGTGTATGTGGTGAAGAGACTGTTTTCTGAGCACTGAATATACTTCAACATCATTTTTGGACACTATAATTAGAGAGATTGAAGTTTAATTGAACTGTTCACATTTTCAGCATGCGTCATAATTAATTAATTAGTGTAGTAAATAATTACTCAATACCTGCACCAAAGGGACCACCAAATCTTCTATTTCCTCCCATTGGCATAGCACCTTGATATCCATGGCCTTGTTCATTCATAAATCCTTCATACGCCATACCTTGAGGTCCCCATAGTGACTTTCTATGTGAATCCATTAACCTCTCATCATCCAGCTGAGATCCTCGTTCTTTATAAGCTTTAGAACCTAAAATAAACAAGAGATGAGCCAAGATTGGAATAAAGCTTCATATCACCTATGTCAAAAGGTGTGAAATAAAATATGTTTTGATCACCCCTCTTTCATTGACAAAGTAACTTCAAAAAATTTGTCAGGGTGGAATTTAATCAAATATACTTTTAGGAACCAAAATCAAGTAAATACTGTTAATTATATATGGATTATAATATTGAAGATCTTAGGAGCTGGTCTGTATCTAATCCAGCAACCTATGTAAAGTTACGGAAAAGATGTTACAAGACATAAATTATTGAACCTGTAATGGACTAAGATATCATGACTAAGATACAGTGATTGAACTTATTTTTACCATATTTCAAAGTTTTTTCTATCAAGAAATCAATCAAGCTGTCCAGGTTATTCATGCAAAACACATGTCAACAGCAGAAAGTAGGCTCAAAACTATCACTTACCCTTTTCAAGCGCATATTCAGCAATCAGAACCCTGCCGTCAACTGTCTTTCCGTCCTGATTTATCTCATTATAGACATCATCAGTGTCATCTACACATGGAAACTCCAGAAAGGCATACCTTTAATATGTAAATACATTTTTAACCAGACTAAATCGAACAATGAACTTTCTTTTGCTTTATCAAACAGTACATATTTTAATTTAAAAAAAAATCCTAGTTTTTAGGAAATAAGGGATTAACGACAGACAAACAATTCAGCTGTAATTTACAATGAAAAACCAATATGGACTGACTGACATTAGTTGATTCAGTTTTTAGGCATTGACTGACATTCACAATGGTAAACTACCACAATTTTTTTGTAAAATTTGACAGAAATAACCCAAAATTGTCTTATTTAACATAGATTAGCAAAGAAAAGTAGCATGTTTAATGATTTGCTTTGATTTTCATAAATTATTAGATTGTGAAAATATCTCAGACTATGTCTTCATATGCCTTATATTTGGCTAAATACATATTTTTTTGCTTCAAATGGAACACTGTCGGACTGACTTTGACAAATATCTCACCCTTTAGGCCGATCAGTGCCTGGAAAATACACCATTCGAATATGTTCAACTATGGGAAATTCTTGACGGAGACGGACTTCACTGGTTTTAAATGACATGTTTTTTACAACTATAATTTTAGTACCTCCACTTCCTGAAAACATTTTATATTTAGACATTGTGATCGACAGACAAATCAATATACACCAACATGGAGGTCTGTTCAAATTTTTCTTGATTCCATAATTTTGAAACTCATTTATTGTCAGATAATATTACAACTGTACATACTTGTACCATCATCTTAACAACGACTCACAAAAGTGAGTTGAATATGAAACAGAAAACAAGTTAACTTTGGCGTAAAATAAGATAAAATTTGATCTGCAACATGGACATGGATTGGAATGGACAGTGTATAGACAGTCATGTGCAAAAAAAAAAACTTGACAGACTTCGGCACCTATAATTTCATAGTCACTGACAGACGATTTTACAATTTATATTTTAATTAGTCAATCTATCTTAAAATGAAATATACATATGACATACAATCAATGGAAGAGCAGTTTGGATAATATATACTGTGAAATGAAAAGATATGGAGTTTTACATCCTACTTCTCTGAACAAAAATTAATTAAGACCGGCAACGCCATGCAGGGTGCAATGAGGGAAATTTTGCCAGGACAGCGACATTAGCCTGCACTTTTACAATTTCCAACTGTCGAGGGATCTTTAATGTGCACAGTCTGTAGCACACAAGTTTATTGTTCCATGTCAGCCGCTCACTGACAGGGGGAAACCGTATTGAAAAATCTGAAGGTATTAACAAGCGTGTAATTCACTGCGGCTCCCAATGATATAATGAAGGGACTATATTCCTTCCAAGACAACTTCACTAAAGGAAGACCACCTTACCTTCTCCTTTATCTTTTTCTTTCCTCTGTTTAGCTGCAGCATAATCTATAATTAGTTCTTTACCATGTAACTCAACACCTTGTTTACTGATTTTGGCACTTTTAGCAGCTTCTTCTGTATCAAACCTCACAAAACAATAGCTTAAATAGAAAAAAAATTAGGTTAGCATCAATTCTGAAAGTGAACATGTTTCTATGTTTCAACAACTATATTCTTGTAAAGATTTACAAATACAATTATTTTGTACAAATAATAAGAAACGACAATCTATTACTTGGAAATAAGATTTAATATTACATAAAAAATCAACTGAAAAATCAATTCAATGTTTTATCTTCTTTTTCATAATTTCATTCATGAAGTTGTACTGATGATTTCTCAAAATTACCTTCCTCATCAATTGATTTTAAGATCTGTAATATCAATGTATATAAATACCTTGTTTTACCATCATTAGGAAACCTAACTTCTCTAGCATCTGGAAACAGTTTACCAATATCATCTTTTTGAACATCTGGGTCTAAATTTCCGACAAATAAGTTCTTAGGATCTTTTTCACCTGAAATACAAATATAATTGATAATATACGGTAATAATACCATCATAGTTGGTTATTAATCTATAAAAAGTAGCTTTTTCTTCATTAATAGAACTACTGTTACTCAATAACTAACCTTATTTTCCTAAACTGTAAAATACTTCTCAATGAATCAAACTAATAATATTTATGACAAAATTACTCCTGACCAAATATATAAATAGCATCAAATCAGGTCACCTAATCATGCAACTATTTTTGGTCCTATTTCCACAACAATATTGCAAATTGCAAAACTTGTTTTTGGAGGGGATGATAAAAACAATTGTGGGACATACAGTTGCAAACATTTCTCTTTGGCCATTAAATCAACAGTCATAATTACTGACAAGTTAGTACTTACTTTCTGTGGGACCTCTATGTGCTGAACTTTTACCAGCTGCATAATCCAAAATCATAGCATTTCCTTCTAAAATCTGACCTTGTTGTTTTTCTATTAACTCTTTAACTCTTTCTTGGCTGTTATATTTTAGAAAGGCAAAGCTGAAATAGAAAACCATTATCTCATATTTCCTTATGCTCCACAACTATATCGACTTTGCATCAATAAATATTGATAGCCTACAATTTCCACAGTGTACAACTGTTCTGGCCTAAAACTAAAGAAAACAAGCCAATTAAGACCACCTCTTTCTCTATTTCTTTATGAACTATTTGTTCCATCCTAGGTCTTATACTGGAAGAATTAAAACTTTACCTCCCAGAAATTTAATCATTTCCATAGATGTGTGTTCACTACACAAGGGGATTATTTTTGTGTAGACTAAAGCAAGTGGATTCTTACCCTGTGTGGTTACCATATCTATCAACAGGCAGCCTAACTTCATCACAGTCAGGGAAATATTCTTCTAATACTTCTTCTGTTACTGAAGCAGCTAAATTAGCTATAAATAGTGTCTTTACATCTTTTCCTTCTGTAAAAGTAAACAGAAATAGAAGAAAAAATTCATGTGGAATTACACCGATTCACTCACCTTTAGAAGTTACAAACAAGTTTTAAGATAGCTTGCCAGGCAAGGCAATATACGCCCACTGGCAGCTTTGATTTAGCTGAACAATCTAGAAGACAAGTTTTGTCAAAATCTGGCAAGAATCATACCTTCTAGAATTTTTACGAGCTACAAATTAAACGAGTTTTCAAGAACAAGGGCAATAACTCATACTAAAAATTTTGTATTTTTATGATTTTCAATAGGCTTTATCCTTGGGTGATAACAAACACTCAAGCCAAATTTTGTTAAAATCCATCAAGAATTGTGCCTTCTAGAGTGTTCACAAGCTAAAAATTGAACGTGTTTTCAAGAATAAGGGCAATAACTCATACTCAATATTTTTCGATTTTTCTGATTTTCAATAGGGTTTATCCTTGGGTGATTACAAACACTCACACCAAATTTTGTCAAAATCCATCAAGAATTGTGTCTTCTAGAGTGTTTACAAGCAAATATTTGAACACGTTTTTAAGAACAAGGGCAATAACTCATAATAAATATTTTTCGATTCGTCTGATTTTCAATAGGGTTCATCCTTGGGTGATTACAAACAACCATACCAAGTTTCGTCAAGAATTGTGCCTTGTAGAGTGTTTACTAGCAATTGTGTGACGGACTGACGGACATGGGTGACGGCAATATACGCCCCCCATTTCATGTGGGTGTATAAAAATTCGATTTAAAAAAATGCACAGACTAACACTTCTTTTTTAATGTGGTGTTTCCAGACAATGAGTTTAGGGGTTATATCCTACTAGTACTTATACCTAATATAAAAAAAAATCAAATTACCAGTAGATAAAGTTGCAGCAGGTGCACTGGCAGAGGATTTCTCTAACCTTAGAGCACATCCCATAAACATCAAACCATTCATAGCCAACACATTATTCAAATCTTTAGGGTTCTGTAAATCTATATGACCAAATCTGAAAATTGATATATAAAAGATTATGAATGATGATTAATGTTGTCTTCTTAATTAAGCAAAGATTGAAAGACTGTTATTCAATCAGGTCATGTTCCTAAGCCCTTATAGAGCTGACAATTAAAAGTGCGATAATGTCTTACAAAACGTTTTAGACCTTCATAAATAATCCTTAATAAATACATAAAAAGGGTGCCAGTTCCGATCCAGACCGAAATGATGGTGGTTTCTGTGGTCATAATGAGGGAAAAGGGCTATCAGAGAAAATCAATGGGCACAAAACTATAAGTAACCTTAATATCAATGAAATAGGCCTTGGTAAAGGTTTCATGATTATATGTAACAATTAAAATATACAACTTACGGTTTCCCATATTTCTTCCTTACAGCTTTCAGAGGAATCTCACTTTGACTAAATAAATCCCATAAATCTCTTTCTTCACAATTAGGACTCAGCCCACCCAGAAATATTGTAGCTAAAATTGGTAATGGTTACTTTTAAAAGAAATGAATGAGTCTTTTTCAAAACTGCTCAAGACTATTATAATTTCTTTTTTTATGACAAGACATAAAGATTCGTAACACTTGACAAACTCAGAATTTCTGAGTAATTGACTTACACAACTGATATTGAAGGTAAAGTATGTGGAAAAATAAAATGATCAAAGTCTATTACCTCTTTCACCGGGTTTAAATGGTTCCACAACAGCACCACCCTTCTTCTTCTTTGATGGAGCATTTCTATTGTCATATCTAGCTCTCTTGCCTTTCCCTCCTAATTAAAAATGAATAATATAATTATAATTCAGTATTGTTTTTGTCTTAATTTGTCTAAAGTTTAAGTTTAAAACATACAAATAGCTGCACACTTTATATATAAGCTTACTCCATAATTAAAAATAGAGAAATCTTACATTGTACCCAAAAGATGCTTACTGTGAACCAAAACTCAGAAGAAAAAAACAATTGCACTTACCATCAAAACCAAAATCTTGTGAAAAGTCCATATGTGGAAAACCACCAACTTGTCCTCCTTGGGTCATATTTGTGTACAATACTGGACCTGTGTCACTTGGTTGGGCAATTTCAGGATTTGTGGTTGAATAGGCATCAAGATTTAAAAATGTTCCCCCTCTCAGATCACTATATTGTGTTGCAGGTACAAATGCAATGCCAGTATTTCCACCAGCCATGTTACCTGTCTTTATGTTTTTATTCTTTTTTTTCTTCCCACCCTGGGTCTGTTGCTGGGCCTGTGTTTGCAACAGGTAAGTTGGATTTAACATTGACATTGTGATGATTATGTTTATAAAACTGAAAAAAAAAAATGACAGTTTAAGGGTTTAATCATCTAAATATTTACTGTACCAGATAAAGAGCTCAATTAGACATATCTATAGCTATTTTCAGAAATCAAATCGTGGCCCCGAATTACCCTACAATTCAAAACATTTTAGAGGAAGTTTACACATTGGATTGGCCAAAACTATATGGAGATGAAATGGAAGAAACTCAGAATGTCATAATATAAAGATGTTTGGCCAAAGTTATATCTGTTGTCCTACACTAGCCCCATATAGCTAGCCCAGGCCCAGAGGGTCTCCAGGAGAGCCAAGGGGGGGTCTCTTACTATGTGACTCAACAAGATATTCTTGTCAGAGTCAAAAATATTGTCTATGAGCCTGCATACAGTTGATACTTTTCTCTGTGTATTGTTTGGGGCATTTGTACATATCATTAGAGTCAATTTGCACTGCAGTAGTCTACTACACCACTCAGTGCATGACGAATAAGCCTCACTCAACTCACTGAATTGAAGTTGAATGATGCACTACAGATCTTGAACGTTTTCCCTTTTACAAGCTCTGCTGGTGGTGTCAAAATGGCACATAATCACTTTGATTAAATGAATCTGCTTCAAATAAAATCGTTTGTTTAATCGGTAGAACGGTAGATGAATTAAAAAGAAATTTACTTGGGCTAAATAACATTGCTTATTTCAATCAAGGGATCGAGGGAAATTACCTACAGAGCTAATACACTTTTTTTTCGTAAAAAATTCATTTTCACCAATAAAATTCATGGATTATGTAACAAATTGGCAGAATTAATGAAAGCTATAATTATAAAAAAAAGATAATATTCATGCAAAATTGATTTTGCCACTATCATAATTCATAATTGGACAATTGGATGTTTTTTTTAATGTACGAAACTAAAAGAGAGCTATAGAATCTGGTTTCGAAGAAAACATATTTTAGTTCAATTTTTCAATTTCAGACGTAATTATGATATATTTTTTTATATTTTGAAATAGTATAATGAATAATACAGTCAAATAATATACACATATTAACCCTTTAAAAGCAGTACTTACCACCAGTAAAAAGTACGAAACTAATAATTGAAATTCACAAAAACAAAAACCACGTGTTGATGAAAACAAGGTTTGGTGAGGCTGAACAAAGTTTGAAAAATACGCGTTGATTCAAAATTTAAGAATCTTGTAGCAGGTAGTGTATAATCTTAGACTTAAAATTATCGGGTTTTGCTGTTTAATCATGTAAAATGCCATGGCATGGCGAAAAATGAAGTCTGAAGAACCTGTGCGATGGGAATTTTCTGTTCAGCGTTCTTCAGTCTTTTCCAATTTTCTATCATTCCATTTTCTGTAATGAAATTCCCCAGTTTCTGTGTGCATATATTGACATCCTTAATGTGAATGTGGTTCTTGATTACTCTCTGAATAAATTGAGCTTTGAATTGAACCACTAACCAGAACATTTTAATTGACCCAAGAACATTCTAAGACTAAAAAATTTTATTTGTATTTGTAAAAAAGAAATTTGGTGTTAGGGTGTATTGAAAGCACTGGCCTAGGTCACAGAGCAATAGATAAGTCTATTAATTATGTGAAAATTAGTTAGTCATTAGTATGATTTTAGTTGAAAGGACACACACACAAACATACACTGTATGTTATATAATATACTGTGTATAGCCATGGCACCAGTCCTGAAATAAGTCTTAAATCTTCAATCCTATTATAAACTGATATTGCAATTCACATCTACTAAATGTAATGAAGAAAACATAGTGGCCAAACAGTGTCAGTAATACCTACTCGGCTATTGATAAAATTATATAAATGTATAAACGTATAATCTTTTTATGAGATGGATGGCCAAGAATCTGAAATTAATATTTAGATTGCAGGGATCCATAACTTCTTCTTTTTAGAGGAATTCTTCTTTTTTTCTGGCCAGTGGTGTTTTTATATTTTCAAATAAAACCTTTAGGAATGAAAAGATTACTGTATTGGGAAATGACTTCCAAAGCATCTTAAAATGGTTAAATCTATATACCTATACTCTGTGGCCCTCTTTACCTTCAGCAGATATTTTCCATTTCCTCTATTTTTTCGTTCCTTACTGGGATCCCTGTAATTGGTTGTCTTCCGACTGTAATTTTAAACCAAATTCTCCTTGTTGTATTTCAGGATGACAAAAAGTAACACGCCCAAGCCAGGCCCTAAAACTCCTAAAACACCAAATCTGAGAAATTCAAATGTTGGTACACCCAAAATGGCACTCAATAAATCTATTAATAAAACGCCTAAATTACCAAACACTCCCTCTGGTGACAACAAAAAAGCTCAACAGACGCCGAAATCAGTGAAACAGAATTTGAATACGCCAAAAAATCAGAAGACACCTAAAAATACAAACACTCCAGCTAAAACACCTGTGACTAAAAATAAAACACCAAAGACAGAAACTCCAGCACAGTCTCCGGGACAACAATTGAAAAAAAAAACTCCAGCTTCCCAAAAAGTTGCAAAGACACAAAATGGGGTGAAGGCAACCCCCAAAAATCAGACACCAGCGAAGACTCCTACTTCAAAACTGAATGGAAAGGGGAAAAACTCTGTCAAAAACCTAACGAAGCAAACACCAAAAGGAACAGCAGGAAACAAAAAAAGTCCAGTTTCAAGTAAAAAGGCTGTGATTAAAACTGAAGAAAGTGATGAAGATGATGATGACGAGGAAGATGATGATTTTGATATGGAAGAAATGGAAAATGATGATGATTCTTTAGAAGATGATGATGATGATGATGATGATGATGATGCAGTTGGTGACAATATTAGAAACACCATTTTGGACAAATATCTTAAAATGGCAGCTGAGGATGATGATGAGGAGGAGGATGATGATGAAGATGATGATGAAGAAGAAGATGACGAAGACATCAAGGATATAGGTAAGTGTCAAATCAAATATAGCATTTTTTCACTCAAAATTGTGATCGTTAAAATGTTTAGTTGGTATATCTATCTGTGATCAATTCCTGATCCTTTCTTTGATGTACAGTATCCTGAAGGTGTTTATCATGAAGATCACAACATTGAATAATTATATAGACGATACTGGTAACTTCAGAAAGCAGAACAACTTTACCTGTCATTTCACCAGAATATTATTATTATCCATATGGCATTGATATTTATATGTATTTTTTTATTAGAATTGTTGAAAGGAGGCCAGAAAAGAAAAACTGAGGCAAACCAGAAAGCAAAAGCAGCTGAACCAAAAGCAAAGGTGGCTAAAGATACAAAACTAACAGCTATAAAGGACAAGGCAATTAAAACAGAACCTAAAGGTGTGTATATGGATCATTAAGATTAAATTATTTCCTTCATACAACATTTATCAATTTTGGCTTTTTTCCACTTTGGGAATGTTTGCTTTTGTTTGTATTGAATTATATTTACGGTTTTTAGTTGGAGAAAAACGCAAAGCAGAAAATGAAGGACCAAAAGCTAAAGTCTCCAAACCAGATGAAAAACAGAAACAAAAAGAGAAACAAAAACCCAAGAAAGTTGTGAAAGAAGAGAAAATAGATCCAGAACAAGGTATAGAATAAATATATATTCATAATGTTTTGTAATGGGAATAAGATGACCACACAATAAAGATAATTTGTCTGACAAATGCTAAATTATATTGTGGAGTATCTCAAGCACTCTTTAATGTAAGATACATCTCATTACATTAACTCCTAAAGTTATAATCATAATAATGTAAAACTATTAATATAAAGATTATAATAAAAATTATTTGATGAGCCTAATATGGTACTAAATAGAGGAACTTTATTTCATTTCAACTATTTGTAGAAAAGAAAAATCGCAAGATATTGTTCATTAAGAATTTACCTCAAGAAGTGACAGTAGATGAAATCAAAGCTTTAAGTAAAGATATTCAAGATGTCCATCTGAGAAAAAGTCATTTTAAACTTGGAAAAAAAAGGTAGGTAGTGGCCCAAGAATTATTTTTACAACTGAAAGATCAACTGTTTATATTCTATAACTTTGTTGGACATTGTTTTATCCAGTAACTGAGTTTTTATTTCCAGTAACTGAACTGTTATTTCCAATAACTTAGCTTGTATTTCCAGTAGCTTAGCTTTCATTTCCAGTAACTCAAATGTCCAGGAAATTTGTAATTAAGTATCTAAGCTGTAACTTAACTTCTATTTCCTGTAAATTAACTTTTATCCCAATTAACTTAAATTATATTTCGACCTTAAAAAGAAATTTTTTCATTTCCATTGACTTAGGTCAATTTCATCACCCGTGACTTTGTTTTTTATTCAACTAACATAGCTTTTACTTCCTATAACTGAACCTTTATTTCAAGTAACTTTGCTTTATGTAGCTTACCTCGTTTCAGTAAATGTTATCAAAATGTAACTAATTATATGAATTTGTTCTTCCAGTTGGTTTGCTTTCCTGTTTTTTACCAATGAAACAATAACTGATAAAAATCATAAATTGATTTCAAGTAAAAAACTTCATGATAAGGATGTTGTGGTGGATTTTGTTGGAGAAAAAAGTAAAAATAAAAAATTGTCCAAATATTCTTCAGATTGTAAGTAAAGTATAAACTTCACTATTATAAGAAACCCAGAAATGGATTGCTCTTTCTGTATAGAACAATGATCCCAAAGATTCTCATTTAGCGTTTTTGTGAAGAAGGATCCATTCCTTGAGAAATTTTAAATACATAGTAGTGAACCGAAATATTTGTTTTCTCGATTATTATAATAAGAATATAGATAAATATATATATATATATATGTACTCTAAAAAATACTTTGAACTTGTTTTGAAATTTCACAAAAAGTACTACTTGTAAAACCTAAGTAAAGGGTACACATGTTGAAGAAAAACTAGACTTCAGAAGTATTGCACGGGATTTCATTTGGAATAAAGTATAATATCCTCGATTAACATTTCAGATGAATTAGATCCATTAAAATTATATGTGACTGGTTTTGATGAAACATGTACAGACAAAGATTTAAAGAAACTGTTCCCTAAATGTGACAATATACACATGCCCAAACGTAAAAAGGGAGCTCTTCATGGGTAAGTCAATTAGAAAGACAATTTGAATTTTGTCAGACTTACTGTTGTGCTGCTTTATTCGGTTGTTTTTAAAGCACTGTTTTTGAACCTATATACAATTATTTGTATGTAGGCCAAGCAGCAGTGCTACATCAAAAAAGCCTTTGCAACATCTTTAAAGTAGATTTTTCTAATCTATTGAAGTGGAAAGGCTATATATGATAAATGTCAATTATTTTGTCTCACTGAATTATTATTCAACTGCTGAAATCTGCCTCAAGATAATTAGGAAGCATAAGTTGGAGATAATTCGATTAAGTGTAATGTTAAATTAAATTAACATATTTTGTAGGTTTGCCTTTGTATTTTTCACTAAACCTGGGGATGCCCAACAAGCTCTTAAAACCACTAATGGTAAGAAAGTAAAGGAAAATGTGTTAGTCGTGTTACAAGGGAAAAAAACTAAAGCCAAGGTGAACCAACAGACTTTGAAAGGTAAGTTGATATTGATGTGTTCGAGTTGAACAGAATTGGTTCAGAGTTCAATTGCTTTCTGTTTAACTAGGCTACCATATCTTGTTAAACATTGGCAATTGAATTATTTCTAATAGTTCATTTAATCAAACAGGTGACTTCAGTAAGCACTATTTTTGAACCCATATTATAATTATTTGCATGTGCCAGATTAAAAGCCTTTTTAACATCCTTAAAGTAGATTTTCATGATTTAGCTGTTGTGCTGGAAAGAAAATATTACAATTTGCTTACTAACATTATTTCATACGCAGTAGATTATGGATTGTTTGAGTTATCCACATTTAATATATGTTTAAAATTTCATTAACAACTTATCTTGTGTCTTTCAGATTTAAAAGCTAAAAAACAGGCTGAGAAGCCTGCTATCAAAATTGATGACGACGATGATGATGAAAGTGAAGATGATGATGATGATGAGGAAGATAATGATGATGACGATGAGGAAGATGATGATGATGATGACGAAGATGATGATGATGAATGAGTGCTATATGTGTAATGTTTTAAGGAATAAAATTTGTGACACTAAAATAAGTTAATGTGTTCATTTAAGGGTCCATGATTATGGATCTGAACTATTGAAGTATGTTTATGAGGACTGGTATATGAAACTGATAATTGTGTGTGTAATGAGATAGGAGTCATTATATGTCCAGTCATGATAACCATAAACTCCATCATTTCAACAAAATTCAGGCTCAGAATTCAGAATTGTCTATGAATGTAGTCCAGGAGAAATCTAATGAATTGCCCTGACGATATTATTGAATGGTTGTTACCAAATAAGTTTGATCAACACTGAATTAAATGATTGTCATTTTCAAATAACAGTCGTTTGTAGTTAATGACAATATTCTGTGCTTAAAACTTTTTGTTATTTTAGAACATAATTAAGGTATTTTGTTGTAAGAAAATTCATAAAGTCATTTAACTGATATCATCTCTGATAGGAGATGAGCTGATTGCGATCTTAGAATTGCATTTTTGATATATAATAACATAACCAAATTTTCTTTTGAGATAACTCGTTATATAAGTGTTCTGTATGTTTGTTAGTGAAGAGAGTTTTTATTGTTTTGTTCATGATCGTCAAAAACTTGGTCACTTATGATTATACTTTTTAAAAATGTCTGTCTTTATGGTAAAATATGGCTAGTAGTTTCTAACAACCTTAATAACAATATACTGGTTGATGTATTTTTATTTTCTTTTTGTAAATATAATTGACATCTAGTATCAAGTTATATATTAATCAATTTGAACTATGATCTTGCTTTTGTCATATTAAAATTCAGAAATAAAGCATTTTAAGAAGTTTATAGACTGTGATATATTTCCCTAAATACAAATTTGTATTTGTCTCTATATTATTATCATTATGGAAGCCTGTACTTTCAATATTTGATTCAGTTCTTATGTCTTTTTATATGACAGTCATATAGTGGCGTTGCCCCTGTTCGTTGGTCTGTCCATCCACTAATTGCGTGAGAACACAATTTTAATGAAATTTGGTGTGGTCATTTGTAATGAGATCTTAGTCGAGTTCAAAGTTGACAATCTTTCGATGAACGCGTTTTAAGTCATTGCCCTTGACTTAAGAAAAATGCATCAAAATTTGTTGGTTTGTGAATGCTATAGAGGTGACAGTTTTAGATAGAATTTTATTAAATTTTGTGTGTTTGTTTAAATGATTTTTAATTAGATTTTTGGCACGATTTGAGGCAGATTGGCGACGCCCTTATAATGAAAATGTATCAGGGAAGTGGGCATTTCTTGCTAGGCAACCACTTGTTGATCTAGTAATGTTATTTGTGCACATGCAGGTCTGATTCAAGGGCTCACTTTATTTTTTCAGTAGAATAGATAGTAACATTACCTATGCAGGCTAGACTACTACTACACCTTTAGTTATTGGTGTGACTGTTACTGTTTAAATTAATACTGCATGGTGCACATCAGCAGCACCAGGCCAGACAAGGCTGCCATCCATCGTTGATTGTAGAAACTAAATCTTGGCATGAGCTTGGTAAGATTTTGTATATGGGGCAGTTGGTTGGTGGATGATCTGGCCTGGTTCTGAAGCCCTCAATTCATCATTTCATTAATGAATTATGCTTTTGTAACTGAGAAAGTTCTGTATTCTTGACTTAACAGATAAAATAACAATTCAAACCATTGATAGCATTTAATACAAAAGAAAAAACTGAAGAACTTAAACAATTAACATTTGGAACATTCCGTTTTTATTTGACCGAAATTTGTACATATTTCAACATTGGAGTTAATTTACCAGCCATATACTATTTAGTGCTGTAGGATTGACAAGTAGAAAATCTGTTTTTAGGAGTTGCGGAATTATGATTTTGTCCAGAAATTTACATAAATGATCTTGACCTTAGCAAAGGCTATGACATGTTTTGACAATATGACATTTTAAATTAGAAGAAATAGCCAGTCATGTGTCATTATCTAAATACCATCTAAATACCATCTAAATACCATCTTAGAGATGGTATACTGTTGAGTTACTTTACTAGTCAATGACAGACACATTCCTTAAGACATTTTGCAAATATTTTCTGTTTTATAGGAGAAAAATTACACTAACAACAGAAACTGTGTAAAGACTAAGACTACATAAAGAATATCTACAAAGCACTAATAAAGCTATCAATAAATAATTGGTATTATATTAAACATATTTCTTCTGAAGTCATTACAAATTCAGCCAGAATTTTAAATGAAAGATGAAATTTCATACTCAAAGACCACAAAGCTTTATTAGTAGAAAAGCTAAAATATTAATTCAATGTTTTCTTGACTTGAAATGGATTAATTTGTGGAGTTATTCTTGGATTATCAAACAAAAACTCAACATCTTAGCAACAATCAAAACCTTCAACACCCACCATAGTGAGTTTCATTACTAACTTAGAACAGAGGCGAGTTATAAAGCAATTAGAAAAATAAGCCAAATCTACCACATGTATTAGACAGAATCCTAAAATTTTAACTGGACAATCATATATAATATTATTCAAGGGTGGATATAGCTGGATTGTATACAACACATAATCAACAATAACAATATAAATAGTACTTACAGGCCATTATATTAATTAAACACAATTTGAGTTAATATTGTTTGGTAAATTTTAGTATCAGTATGTATGATAAATATTAATATTATTGTTACTGCTCAATCGCTTGAAAATGCAGTTAATAAAGAGCCCAGTTATTGAAATAGCAAGGGGAAATAGTCTAAGGGGTGCCCAATCTATTAACATGCAAGCTATATCCAACCTTGAATAATAATAGTAACAAAATATATAACAAGATCATTGGTAAGATTACAATATGTACATCGTAAATAGGGGACATAACTCATAGTCACTCAATACACTATACTTCAAATCCAAGCAAATGCAATAATAGATGAAAATCTATATACCTGTTATTTTAGTGACTTAGTATCTTTGACTTTTATTTCACAACATTACACGGTCAAAGTTCATGAACATTTACAAAAAATCACAAACTTAATTCAGGAGTTCAGTGTGAGAAGGCTTTACAACTCTAGTATCTGGGTAATGACAAGAAATCTTATAGTTTTATATGGTCAGGTTAAGATCAACTGATCTGAATTCTTATTGATGAAAATATCTACAAATCTTTTATACTTGAAATTATTCTTGTAAGAAGCCATGTTAATGATGATATCTTATCTATCTATGGTTATCTTGCCATTACTTGCCATAACTTACAGCTCTTACTTTAGATGTTATCAAAAAGGTATTTACTAAAATCATTCTTTAATTTGAAGTCTAAAAAGTTAACTTGAATGGCTGATGAGTGAACAAATGAGAAAAAAGGCACTTTAAGTTAAATATCAACCCAAAGATAGGATTGATCTGTATCCATCATGGTAGTCTATAAGTTCATTTTAATTTCTTAACCCCAGCCAATCAATGTAAAATATGTCTACATTCAAATCAAAGCTACCAAGAAAATTTAACATGATAACATAACAATCCAACCACATCACAAAAACAGATTTATCTTCACAATATACATAATCAGAATCTATACTTCTAATACACAGAGCAGAGTGAGAACAATCTAACTACTTATTATATTTATATTCACTTGGTCTTATGGCTTGCTAAGTGGTGTTTAGTCACACAATATATAACCCATATGATCTTTATCTTTTGGGCTTCAAGATGAAATTTGTAGACACTCAAAAAATTTGTATTCTAATCTTGAATCAGGTAGACAATGTAACTTTAGTTCATCAAAAAACATTTTCAACAACACTACAGGCTGGAAATAATTTCAACTTCTCAATATTTTGGGATTGCAGAATTATTTCTTTTATTAGCTATGTCCCCAAACATAGCTATGATTGTAAGTAAAATTGTTCATTAGTGAAGTAGCATGTCAAAATTCCACAAAATAAAGTAAAGTAAAGCCCAGCTGTAGAGATATAGAATGACTTTAATCAAAGTAACCAGTGTTAGTAACACAACAGAAACATGTTTGCCAGTCTGAAGTTTAGTTGACACCACTTTGCTCTGTGTACCTAGAGCACAACAATTTTCTCTGTATTTCAAAGTTAGACTTGAAAATCAATGTCATCCACACTCATCTTTAACAGTTTGATAAAGTCACCAATCACACGATATTGTTTTTTCACTAGCACAATTATCAGGCTAGTGGCTTCATCTATGTTAAACTTGGTAACGTGTTTTGGCTGTTGAACCTGCTTTCGTGATAGTATCTGAATGAACCTGTAAACAGAAGACAAGCATGTTGACAAAATGTTCAGTTCTCGCTAAATGGTGGAAAATACCAGTTAATTCCTTCAACAAAAGACACTCCTTTAAACTGTTAAAACACATAATTTCAGGTGTGAACTTCACCTATACTTATATTTTTAACATTTCAAAAATTATTCAATACTCAAACTTCTAATACAAGTATCAGAAAAATCAGTCAGCTAGGAATATTTCTTTCATTTTGTACCTGTCCCTGTTACTCATGTTTAGCAACTTACCTGGAAACCTATAGCTATTTTTGAAGGTATATTTAATCTTTCTTTTAATTTTTTACTGAAATATACAAACAATTAATCCTTTAGCTACATTTCACACTAAATAACTGAAAACAACCAGGTTGTAGTAACCAAAAATTAAAATTAGTCAAAATGGCCCCAAATTCAATAATCAAAATGGCCCGTAAAATTACTCTGATTTCAACAAAAATCATTGGACAAAATGATCCCCCTAAAAAGCCAAAACGGTCTGTTAAAATTTGTTTAACTTTAATAATTTTATTTAGTAGCTTATATGGTGATTATCGAACAGCAGAAATAATAGTTTGTAGCTTAAGATCTAAGGAGTAGTATACTATACATTGTGTTTCGCTGTCTAATACAAAAAATTTTGTTAAATCTTCTTCCATCAAGAGATCACATCAAACTTTCTCTTTTCTTTAAAGAAGATATCATTAAAAGCAATCTGCTTACAAGAACAACAATAACCAAGGGGCCATTCATAGGAAAAAACAAAGGTTGCTCGTCTTGCATGTTCTGTTGTATTTGCAAATAACTACCCTTTTATTTTATATCATACCTACCCTATTTCTACATTAGCCTCTCCTCTCGAAGAATCACGTGTCCATAACCCTAACTTATCCCCCTTGTTTCTGATATTAACAACGGCACCACATATATCATCACTAAAATTATCAAATGCTTCTCCCACTAAACATAATAACTGAAATATTAAAATCAAATTTTCCATTAAAACAGAAAATATTTTGTCAACCACTAGAAGGAGTATATTCAACTTGTGTTCTTAATGTTTACTTTCCTGCTTCTATGTGTCTTACAAAGATCATATCAATAATATAAATATAATGACCATAGTTTTTTTATAGTAAAACTGTGTTCAACCAGAAAAAACAGAAATGTAAATATATAAATGCCTCTATGAGCAATGGATGAGAAGTGAACGCAGATCAAATCTGAATATACGTGAACTCACCATTTCAAGCCAGAATCTGTCTAAATCTGAATGTCTCTGTTGTTTATTTAAATTAATCATCCATCTTCCACCCCGTTTATTTTGATCATCTTCCCACATTGGTTCAATACCATCCTAATAATAACAATAGAAATTTTATTTGTATTAGGGAGTATTACACCCTATTGTACCTTAATTAGTTATTAATTAGCAAGTAATATGAAAGTTATAAACTAAAATATGTTTTGATGGTACGATGTTGGAAATTTTGCCAGGACAGCGGCATTAGTCTGCTCTTTTTCAATTTCCAACTGTCTTCAACGTGCACAGCCTGTAGCACACAGCGCCTCGGTTTATTGTCCCATCCGAACGACTAGACGCTTTTACCATGTCAACTCCTCTATCCTGCATCACTGACAGGGGGAAACCGGGTTGAAAAATCCGAAGGTATTATCTCGACCTATGCTGAGATTGAACCCTGGACCTTTAGGTTAGCGAGCAAACGTCTAACTCACAGCAGCTCCCAGATGTATTACACGGACATACAACTTAAATACTTTGTACCTTAAATAAAGCGTAATCACATCCTGACATTAATTTACTGGCTTTCTGTATGTGGTTATATAATCTGAAATAGAGTTTGAATATTTACTAAACAGGCATTTCAATCAAACAAAAATATTATACAAAGCTACAGAATATCTTTTATCAATTACACATTCATATCGAAAATTATTGGATTTAGAATCCACAGACAAAACCCCAGTAACTCTAGGCATGGAAAAAAAAGATTAAATTTCTAAACCTAAATTCTTATAAATTTTACATTTCAGAATATTTCATGTGTTTCCATCCACAAGAGCATTTTTAATTTGAATCAGCAAAACCCCACCAATGCATTGACCATAAAATAATTGTAATTCATACGTTAAATAAATGTAAATTAATACTTACGCCCAAAAATCTTCAACTGTGTCAAAAGCAGTAACTTTGCGTAAATTATCAGCCCAATTTCGAGTTTTGTCATTTTTAAAGAACCATAAAGCCCATTTATTCTGTAGTGGATGTTTTATTAAAGCTTGTGAAGAAAGTTCTACATCAGCTGATAGTTCTGGAGATGTTGCACCTTCTTCTTCATCCATCATTGTATCCTGTTAATGAATTTCAAAACACAAAAAATTTAATGAAGGCTTAACTTTATTACATGGCCATGGGGTAAAGTCAAATTTGCCACTAACTCTAACCGAAATGGCCCAAGCCCAAAATTTTAAGAATTATAATCATATAGGCCATGTGCCTCATGCAAGATTTTTTCATACTGTCCTCCTCAATTATTGCAGACTTTAGTTCTTTATAAAAGCAATAAGACTGAGAGTAGTCTATCAACAATATATAAATATTAGACAACCAGATAGATTAGCCATGATATGGTGATAGGCTATATAAATATGCTTAAGATTGTGTCCACTAAAAAACTGACAAAGCTATCGCATCATAATTTTTTTATCTATTCTAAGAATCTACAATGGAATGGGATATACATCTAAACTTTCAAATTAAAGTTACCGTTGGTCCCCGTAAAGTAACACTTAGAAACAATGATTTGACAGGTCGAACAACGTGGTCATAATTCGTCAAAATGATAAAAAAAAAATGGGTAAAATCCCAACAGATTGTCTTCAATTATACCACTAATTTGAATTAATCGTACGGTCAACCTGTCGTTTATAAACAATTATCGAACAACTGGGTAACTATTGACCATAGTATATCATATATACTTTCTTTGGGTTTAAAAAAAAAGAGGTAGAAATGATAAAAAATACCTCCGCAATCCGATCCTCTTTCTCAGAAGCCATGTTGCCTAAAATCGTAATGGGTGAAAAGTCACGTGGTACCGGTGAGACGAAAATGAGGCCAGTAGTACAAGAAAGCGAAAGTAGATAGAAATTTGGCACAATTTCTTTTTACTAAAAAAGGAATCTAATCACAATCATTTAATTTCTGAAAAATCCTGTATTATCTGAAATGCCACTTTTGTCAATTTGAAAATAGGAGAGGTAAAAAGAAAATCCGATTTAGCTGTTTGAGTATTTGACCTCAAATTACCCGAAATGTTATCAAATAGAGTTTTCTCCCCTTGATCAAAATTATCAACAATAACCTACAGACCACAACTAGTTATACGGAACATCACATAATATTGACCAGTTTTCCCCCTTATATTAATATTTGAACATAGCATATTATACACAAAAGAGCAGGTTATATTCTTACGCCTTCTAAATAATTTAGCAAAAGAGAGGTGTAAGAGTTTTGAAAATCATCAACCAATATGCCTATTAAGATCTACAGGGATTTAAAAGAGATATTACATGTATTACTTATTTGAATATAATATACTTGGAATTCACAAACCTTGCCTTGACTTGGAAAATCTGTATTGGCAAATAGAATTTATGAGTTTCTTCATACATAGGCTAGAAAACCTCATTAGAATCCCTTTCACAGCAGTGCACAATACATGAAGTGCCATTGTAAGATTTTAACTTCCATTATCTGCACTAATGACTTTCAGTAGGGGTTCCAAAATCTGAACATTTGGCTTTCTGACACTTAGAAATAAAACATTTCTATCTTTTGAGGTTTTTTTTTAATTTCAGGTAGAATATTTGTAGTAGAAATATCAAGCAATAATTAATTTTTATTTTCTATGATCACTTTTACCACTTACTTTATTTTGCATATTCATAGCAAAGATCCCCATTACAGTTAGGGTCATAGTCTCCAAACCACACCCCTATTCGTCATTCTTCCTTGAGGACTATGTTAAAACCTGTATTCGGAATATGCGTTAAGGTAATTGATACATACAGTAACATATGCCTATTGTATACCATGGTCTTGTATCCTAGGCAAACCAGAAAACCATGTATAGACATATTACTCTACATCATACAATTGTAGAATTTCCATTGGTGAAACTTTGAAGATAGTGTTACTTTTGATCACTTCTTACCTCAGATGTTTCATATCAGAGTACGTTTGGCAATACCCAGTTCTAACTGGAAATATAATGCTTCAGTAGAAACAGGTTGAGATAACACAACAGCCAAAAATAGTTGGTCCGGTCTTGATGAAGTTCTTCAAGTGCATGTGTATTTTGATTTAATTATTGTTCACAAAAACCAAGTGATAAAAAAAACAGAATTTTTATTTTCAAAACTTTATTATTAGAAATGACGAGGAAAACTCAATGTTAAGAAAATGACACAAAAACACCCTGTGACAGACCAAAATACATTTATAAGAAAATTAAAAACACTATTAATGGCACAACAACTGAGAGCATGTTCGATTCCAAGTGATTGCATTAAGATACATTAAAGATATAATATTCAAAAAAGCTAATTTTGCAGTGTATATATCGCAAATAGAAATCAACCAGCAATCGAACATGGCTTTAATATAATTTTTTTGTTCTAATGATGTATCTACATCCTGAAAATTTTAGCTGCTCTAGACAAGGACAAATGAACGGCTGATCACAATAGAAGTTTCATTGCTAGCTAATGGTTAAGTTTGTTCAACCACAATCAAGTCACCACCATCTTGCAGATATAATTCAGGATGTTGACAAAGTCCATTGTTTTTATTTTGGAATGTACAGACTCCTTTCTTCAGTATGTTTTTAATAATTTCATACGTTATCAAAATTTCAAAAAGTTTGAAAAACATTTTAAGACAATGCTATTGCAGAGTGAACAGTTAAATTTCATTCACAAATCTTAATATTTTTATAATAATATCTGTCTGGAAAAGACAAATGTTAAAAATCTGAACTTCATCAATCAAGAAAATATTTTTGTCTTTTTCTCACAAAAATTATAAATGTCTAAAATGAAGGTTAAAATTCAAAGCTGCCAGAATAGATGAGAATGAATTATGATGTGCTTGATTTCAGATCTTCTGATAAAGAAACCAACTCTAATGGAAATCATAGCAGTTGCTCAGTTTTTCATAAAAATAAAATTTAGAATAGTAATTTTACGGCAATCAAAATGACAAAATGAAGTTACCAGTATTTTAATAAAAAGGTGAAAATCATGAAGGATTGCTGCCCCTAGACAATATACATGTGGCCCAATTTGGCAGCATTTTTAGAATGCATGCTGATGCCATTTTGTAGTTTTATTGCTTCCATACTGATATTTTCATAATGTATTTTTCAATGATAACAATGATGAATATCAATGGCTAATCTGCATGGAATTCTCTGTATTTTAACTCCAAAATTCATTTAACAATGCCATTATTTAAGTTAATTTGTATTGTGAAGATAGTTGACATCACCTTCTGATGTGTTGAATGTCGAGTTTGATCATAATCCTATTCCAAAATAATCTTGCTATCAATTTGTACCAGTGTGGTATTTCTCATGCCTACTATACAAATCATAAAACTTTTGGAATCCATGCCCCGATATTCAAAATCACTCTTTTTTCTTACAAGGAATGGCAAAATATAGGCCAAGTTCAATTAAGATCAAGTTCAAGGTCAACACATCACTAATGGTTGGACATAAATACAGACAACATTAAATAAGAAAAAGAAAGTAGCACTTAGTCTTCAAAATGGTCCATAGAAAAAATCATCCTCACAAATATTTCAAATCTTTATTTACATATTTATTTCTATAAAAATGTTTTGTACCAAATTTATCTTGGCAAGCATTTCATTTAATATTTTTTCCTATTTTAGAAAATTTAAAATCAAAAACATTATAGACACTTTATCTAGTTCATTAGAATTCTATTTCTTTTATTAAACAAACTATCTTATACTCTATCTACAGGTCAAAATTTATTCAAAATATAAATCTCTTCTAAATAAAAAATACTATCACCTTTGGTTTAGATTTTGTGCCCTTTAATGCAAATCTGATTACCTGTTTTTGATTGGACAACTCAAAATACTAGGAATGAACATTTCAACCAATTATAAATATTTGTTATCCCTCTTTGTGCTTTTGAATGTGAAAATCAAAAAATGAACATGTGCAATCAAATTGTTAAGCATTTAGTGGAGCACACCTCTAAACCAAGCTAATATCATATCTATATTTTATCAACTCTAATTTAAAATGGTGAAAAGGTTAAAAACAATGAAAAGACAAATGGAAACGTGCAAAGTAAAAAATGTAAGATTTTGCTTTTTGAAAACAGATGAATTTTCTGGGTTGTTGAGATCAAAAATAAATAGTGAAAATACTGAATAATGAAATTCTAGTTCATTTTATTTGAACAATACTGATGAGTGTACAATTTTACATGAAAGTTTGACCTCAATTGAAATTTCAAAATATAGACAACAGATAGCATAATCCATATTGCAATTCAAAATATTCAAAAGTTCATGTAAAATTTGGTTAAATGTCTTAACTAAAATATTAGGTTTAAAATTGTTGAATTCTTCATGAAGGTCTCTAAAACCTGTCTTTCAGTCATACAATATACTGATTGGATCGATTTATAATTTTTCATCATATTGCATTGAAGAGCTTAAGAAAGATTTCAGTAAAGCATAATATTTCTGATACAGCAAGCCAAGAGCAGTATTAAGTTTGATGAATATGCCATTTATATCAGAGTAACTTCACTAGATTTTTAATAAATGGACAACAAATAGTTTTCCTGGCAGTCACTTGTCAATGTCCCTTCAGTTCCCTGCTTGTCCCACCCTTCCCCACTCTCCCCTATATATAAGATGTCAATATTTACAAAATGAACCAATGAAAAGATAAAATCTGGTCACTTTTTGTACACCAAATGAAATAAGTCATCGTTTTGATATGTTTTAAAAACAATGTTTGAATTTCAATCATGATTAATGCGAGGACGAATTTCCAACTGACGATTTGATGGTTGACTATCTTTTATTCGGTGTGTTAAGAGGTCCTGACGGCCTTGAGGAGTTGATCATTTTTGGTAATGGCATCTCAAATTCTACAAACAATGAGAAATGATCTGAAGGTATGTGTGGATGAGGGCAACCAATAATCTTGTTTTCTCTAAACCATTCATCATCTACAGCTCCCAGCATGCCAAGTAATTTCATGTGATCACGAGAGTAGAAGATGTAGTCAATAATACCTTTAAAATCATACCTGAAAAAATGACATCAATCAAAAAAATAAGTGAGATAATGTTTAAGTATTTTATATGGAATTCTGACAACAAAACAATAAAAAGTGGCAAAATCTTAATGAATACAAAAGATTGTCTCAAGCCATTTTAGTGCCAACTATAATTATATTTTATTTTCATCTTTTGGCTGAAGATTTAATGTTTCCATTAGTAGAAAAGTAAATTTTGAGGCCAACATGAACTAATTTAAATTGTTAAAAGTGACACATCTACATGGTTTCAATTTTTAGCCGAAAAAGCCTTGTGCAGGATTCGTATCACAAAGGTAGGAATTTTTTTAAGCAACATGAAATACTTACGTATAGTTTGTATTGGGCATAATCTCACTATTATTGTAGGCACGTCCAAGACGGAAGTTGTGAGTTAGAGATTCTTTATCCGCTAAATTAGGGTTCAACTTCTTCAGTGAAGACTCATAGACTAATTGTCGGAAATCAATATGAGTAGCGGAAACTTTAGCATTGGTCAAATATTCAACAACACCTGTAAAGAGTGAATTGGTCATTAGTTTAAAATATTTACTTCTAGAAATTTGTTGTTGGTTACCTTCATTTTCATGTAAAATTTATTATTGTATTGTTTAGTTTTTTTTTAATTTATATATTACTGAACTAAATCAAAGTACTGATTTTTCTTAAGTGTTTGATAGCTGACTAGATGTACATTTCCTTGAAAGATAATCTATTTTTAATATTACTGTAGCATATGGATTAATGAACTTTACGACACAGAAAGACAACAAAAACTAAATTTCAGAGTGACAAGGTGCTTACCTGAGTCTGGTAATGAATTGAGGTCACCACACATCAACAATGGCATGGCATTAACATCTTTAGCAGACGGGGAATTGGGTCGGAACTGTTGAAGAGTATCTTCGATGATATTTCTTAACTCCCACATAAGCATCATAGTTTGAATAAGCTTGACATCAGAGTATTCAGGATCCCAATGAATGTGAGCAGTCGCTACCATAATCTGTTGTCTCATTTGATTCTCTGGTGGTAACCCTACAATACAAAACATTGAAGTCATGAGCCTGAAACATCAGCAATACAGTAAAACAGATTGTTAGTAAGATAAACTGAGACAAGAGGGAGTAGATTCACTTACCATGTTCCCATACACCTTCCTTAGTTTCTAGAAGAGCTGTCAAACCAATATTGTCTTTTGTCATGACCCGATTCAACATATCTGCTGAACCTTCAGCATTAGCCATAGCAATCTGATTGAATTCTATCAGTTGTTCTTTAATCAAAATAAACCTAAAAATAGAAATCATAATTTAGAAGATATGCTTACTCCCTCCAAAACATCAGACATCAACTTAAAGATCCAACAGATCGCGCTGATTTTCAGCTACCAGTATTACTGTAGGAGAGTCAGGGTTTGAATTCCTTCTTTAAAGTGATGTGAATATCTGTACTTCCTGACACTAGGCATCAGTTGATTTCAGACAAAAAGAAGGTTTACAATACTGTCTGCATTCGATGGCTTTAACAATATGATTTTAAGTACATTGTCATCATAAAATGTTCAATTATCAATTCTCTTTTTATTTCCTCCTTATGAATTTTTTCAAATTATCTTTTATAAGAGTTACCTGCCAACAACAGAGGATAGAGAAAAGAAGCAGACAATATTTCAATACTCAAGTCTCAAATTTGTCATAAAAAAAAAATGAAAATGATAATTACTCACTTGTTTGTTTTATAAAATATGGCACAGCCATCTACATGTTTTCTTTCTTGTTCAGTCATAGTTTTAGCTCGAGATTTGGGCTGAAATATACCATCATACCCCTCTGCTATCAGCTCTGGGAGGAAAAAATTATGGAATTGTTCTGTCTCAACTTCTTGTAAACTGATGATATCAGCAGAATAAGTCTTAATTTCTTCAATGATGGCCTTTTTACGATATTCCCAGTTCAATGCCCAGCTGGGACAGTATCCATATTGTTGACGAGTACAGTATTTATCACACAGGACATTGTAACACATTACCGTAAACAAAGCTGAAATCATAAAGCACAATTTTATACAACATGTTAAACAAAAATAAATGAGAGTTTTACATCCTAAATTGTGAAATAGACATCACGGTATTATTCAATTATAGGGTTTTAAGATATTTTTCTTCTTTCTGGCATTGATTGTTGTAACAACTATACCTATTTTTAAAGAATTATGCTTATTATGAGTGAAACTATATCTAAACCCTTTATATAGTTTCTATAAATTTACCTGGCCACCGAGGAATTGTTTAAAACATCACATTTGAAGTTTCCTATAATTGATACGAGGCCGGTGAATTCTCTTGAATAGCATCTGGGAAAGGAATTCCGAGACCACGGACATGCGCAGAAGGTTTTGTTTACAAATGGCAACAAATTTTCGATCAGAAATATAAAAATCAACTTTGTGTTCTTCTCCGGTTGTTATATGGAGAAATTATGGATTATTATCATTATAGCAAAATTCACAAAATCACAATAATGAGAAATGAAATAAGTTGATCAATACTTTTATTTGCTATCGCGTCTTCTGGTCTGAAATATGTGTAGTTAACGCTGATTGGTTCAAGTGGTCCAATAATTAAAGAATTATTTTATCAATTGTGACTTAATGCTTGGATTTTTCATGTTATAACTTTTACGAAAGGTAAGGGGCATCTTTCTCTATATGTTGGCATGAAGTATTATGTATTTCACATTCAAGACCAAAAAAAAATTCATTGAAAAAACCAGTCTAGCCCTTTAAAGTTTTCCATGGAAAGAATCCATTCACCATAACCCTTATTTGATAATTTGAGTAAAGCTTCCAAACTTAGATAATGCAGATACAAATTTAATTTCAGTCTATAAATTTGATCTCAAATTCAAATCAAAAGTTTCCTGTTTGATCCACTTCTAAAAAATATCCAATTTAAAGTTTCAAAGGCATCTGTATAAAAATGTCTATGGCTTCAATTATAAATCTTATGTCTATTAAAAAACTATATACAAGAGTCATGTAATATTTTAAGGTTTCTAAACCTTAGAAATATTTCTTTTTTTTTTTCCAGCGACAGAATAACAGAATCTGCTGTAAGACTGACAGATTGAATTAATAATTTTACAAAAACAACTTCATATATCAAGTCATACAGTTAGAATTAAATGAATCTGGCTGAATTCAATCTGAATATTGATATTGTAGGTATTATTACATGCAGAAATTAGTTTTAAACTAGATTCAAGTTTAATTTTATAATGGTGCAGCATGTTTCCAGTTTTTTTGGTACGTTTTCCTTTTTGTAGAGTTTCAAAACAATACCTTGAATTTCATTTAAATCTTGCTTTGTTTTCTTTGTTCTCATTTCTACGTGTTACTGAAATGTGTGATCTAATTTTTTGAGACCACTTGAATTAAGCATATTTTCCAGGCACAGAGTCAAGTTCGAAATTAATTATGCATGCAAACTCATCTAATAAATGTTGAAAGTTGAACCTTACCTGTAGGTCGAGATCTATCTGGCTCTGCAATGGCCATCCATTGACGACTCGGTGGAGCAGAGGCATTGACTGGAAATAAACAAAACAATTTTTAAATTATAAGACAATTATTAATATTGAAACTAAACACAAATCATGTTAATTTTTTTTAAATATATTAATATGAATTATTGATTAGATAGTGTGCAAGATGTTTTTTGCTGATTTTGATCTACAGAAATACTATTAGAATATCAAATACTAGGTCATTGACTCTAAATTTGATACAAAACATAACATTGAATAAACAATGTTAATTCATGTAAATTTATGTGAATGTTAATTATGTAGTAACAACATCAATTTCATGTATGCGTCCATCTAGCCAATTCTCAATATCATACCCTGAGTTCAAAAATATTTGACCTTCAGTGTGGCAATTTGTAACCAGCTATATAAAATGGTATCACATCTGAACAATTCCAATGTGACAAGAGAAAAAAGTAGACCCTCTCGAGTGTTTCAGAAGTAGCAAGAACATCCATTCATTGGTGGAACATTTGGGTTTCAATACTGTTCATTTGGATAGTTTTATTACACAAAGAGCTCAATGTTACAAGTTATAACTATGACTTCTCTGTAGAAACTGGACAATGTATAATGTTGATTTATAATAGACAAGATAAGTGAATAGGGTTCTAGACAGGAGTTAATTTCCGGTTGGTTGACAAGCAGCTAAAAGGACAATAAACAAAACACTCCTACAGATTTGGTTATTAGATTAGTATGGCCATGCTAGTCAATTTTTTAATGCTCAAATAAATGAAGGGCTGAATGAATGAAGGGCTGAATGAATAGAATTGAATTTGGTTTTTATTAAGCTATGTCCCTGGTAGTTATATGGTTAGGTAGGTTATGGTGAGGTCAGTAAATTAAGGATTGACAGTATGAATCAATTCAGGGGCTCAAATTAAAAGGATATCTGGTACTATAAGTTAAGAATATCTATATTGGAGTTTATTTCCGGTTGATGACTTGAGTGTAAAATGACAAACAAAACATTTCATTCAGATTGGTTTTAACTTTTGTTAGTTCAATACTATGCTGGGTTGAGGACAGCAATAAAAAAACTGACCGATAGAAAAGACAGAGACAATGGACAAATGTCTCAATGACAATGAAAAGGGAAGATACGCATGATGACATCAAAGGCATTAAGTAAAAAAAATTAGAAATGCTGAATGCCTTATTGAAGGTAACCCCTGAAACAATCATTCAATCTTATGAAGTATTAGATATCAGTATTAGTATAACAAGGTCATAGTTTTGTTTGAAAATATCTCAGAAAGGAAATCCTTTATTTCATACATGACAATAGAGTTTAGCCGTCTTTTGTCATGAATCACCAATATATAAACATTAATCAATCGTGTCAAATAGGATAAGTCTTTACAGTCAACTCTTTCAAGTGTTTCTTCAGAAAACATGCCCTTTTTACACCCCACCTGGTCAAGACAGACAACTCTTATGTCTACTTATACTTTTATAAGGGCCACTGCTTTTTGTACCATAGTTCAAAATGTTTCGCCAGTTTTTATTATACCTTTCCTTAACAATATATTTCATGTTCCTTCAAGTCCAAGAATGCCCATACGTGCACATAAAACTTGTTTTTTTCCCTTACAAAGCATTAAATATGTCTACACATGTATAATCTCTTCCTTTATTCTAATATAATTCAAATCTTTATTGATCGCTTTTTTAATTTCTAAAGAATAAATTTCCTATTTTTCAATTTTTTAAAATGTCTACTGTTCTTTCAGCTATATGACAATTCAGGTAGGATATTAAATATGACTGTCATTATAAATTAAACATTAAAATGGGCCCTTGGATTATTCTAGTCTTTTTTAATTGGGTGTATAGAACACTCACATATACACAATAAATCCTTAGTTACAATTTAGTTACAAATGTAATTAACAGAATCACTGTAATAAATTAGAATTGAGCAAATTTTCTTTTTGATTGAATTTAGATTAAAATATCAGATAACAATAGAGAATTGGAGCATGTAAAAATAAGTTATAAAGCTTTTCACAAATTAACCTAAAAATTTTATTGTCTCAGGTGACTTTAATTTTTTCTTTCTGACTTATTTCATCAAAATTATAATTTCTTTATACCTGTATCTAGAACAAACAATGTAAAACATTTTCTGATATTTTAATATTTTGTTTTGTTTTGCCAAGTTTTACTTTCTGATTTCAAAAACAATTATGTATTATAAAATATTGCAATATGGAGCATTTCACGCTTGTAATGTTGAAAATAATAGATAAAATGCAAATCGTTCCACACTATGATATTGAAAATAAATAAACAGTAATCTTCACCCAGAATAATTCAATTTTAAGGTTGGGCATCAAATTACTAAAAATCATCTTGGGTACAGTTAAATTGATAACAAAGAGATATTTCCATTGGATGCTTTCACTATTTATCACATACAACATTTTAGGTATAAACATACACACAATCAAGAAAAGAAAAGTGTTATAACTTCTGAATGTCTTGTAACTGTAAACATGCATAATAAATTCATTTTTGGGTTTAGTAGAAATAATTTGTGTGGCTGTTAAGTGACGATTATTTTCTTTTTACTTGTCAGAAAAAATGATGGTTTACAAAAGACTGGAGGGAATAAATCATTTCAAGCAGAACAAAACATGTCAACTAGTGAACAACATGGAGAAACACATCATAAACATATCTTAAAGGGAAATTCAGTCATACTCATGATAAAGGGAAATTCAGTCATAAGCGTGTTTTAAAGGGAAATTTGCCCATTTCAGTACAAACCAACTTAACATATATATATATATATATTGAAGAGCTTTAACAACATTTGTAGTCTTGGTAACCTATCTTTTTCAAGACTTCAGATTTAAGTTGCATGGTCAAGAACTGCTGACTCTGAAAATGCACTACCCTAACTTTTGATATTCTTCAAATATAAAATTAAAACATCTTAAACTGCTAAGGATCAACTTTAAACTTATTTGGTTTATTTCCTCAACATAATTGTTTACAAATTCAATGATCATAAAGGTTGATGACCAATTGAACCTACACCTGCCTCTAGACTATCAAAATATTTATAGTCTGCCAAAAATATTGGCTAATCTTGGTTCACCTCAGTCAACAAGAGGCCAAAATACATGTTTCATTAAACAAAGGTAATTCAATGGACAATGGCCAAATTGTTTTCCAACTTACCAAATGTTAATATGGTTATAATTAGTCTTAACATAAATTTTGGTCTTTTCTTGAAGAAATTTTCTTTAATTGATGTTATTTATGATGGTATAGGATTTAATTCTGAGATCTAATACTTGCTCAAATAAACTTCTTTCATAGCATCTAATATGTTTCTTTGAGTGACATTTAATCTTGGCATGTACCGTATATTCAAAATTTACCACAGCTAATATTTATTATCTCTTAAGATTTTAATTGAGCAAAAAATCAAAAAGCCTTAATGCTGTTGGT